AGACAAAGAATCGCATGGTTAGATATATTTTCAATATTACCTATATATAGTATTTCCAAAGGCAGCTTCAATAATAGATCCATTACAAATCATTTCGCAGGGGATTTTAATAATATCCATTCCTAAATAAAAACTGCTATCAAGTTTACCATCTCCAAGTTTTACTAACCATTGACTATAAGCAGAATCCTATGATCTCATATTTGTTGTAAGAGACAATTTCCTGAAACATCCCCAAATAGTACAATAGTAGAAACTCTTTTGTACTATGGCCAATCGCATAGCATGCAGTACAATACTGAGACATTGTCGAAAATCCCCTCCAAGAACTTTCCCACCAAATACAACATTGAAATTAATAATTTCTCTTAGTAGTAATCCGCGTATGGCGTTTAGAGCATGACTGGATTTCATGGTGCATTCATCAATAATGAGAAGTTGGGCCTTTTTAATAGTTTTAGCAACTTCACTGTTTATATCAAGTCTAGAAATTGAAGTTTCATTTAATGGAATTGTTAATTTATATGGGAATGAAAGGTTTTTCCACCATTAAGTAAATTTGCAGCAATTCCTGTAGGCACTGTGGGTAAAACAGTACCACCACGACCTCTAATATGATGTATTAAAACTTTATACAGATGTGGGGAGCAGCTACAGTGTTTGGACACGTTCAAGCCTTGGACCGAGAGGGCACAATTCTCTCATTGCCGCGTGCTAACAGTTACAGTTGTGGGGTTGAACTTATGGTCCAAACACATGCCTAAGTGATGTGGGCTTGATAAGAGTTCAGATGCATGTAGTTGAGTATCGATAGAATTGAAACCCATGAGAATGTTGTAAACATCTTGATTATGCCCTTGCTTTGCCTCATGGCATCTGCTATAAAATACAGACACGGCTTGTGGAGAAGCGACACCAGACCCAGCTTTCATTCTCGTCTGTCTTTTCTAAGCCTTTCACCACCCCCACTCAGGGTCAACCTTGGCCGTGCTGGTGCGGCACATACAGATATGCAGGTGATGGCAGGTCCCTAACAGCAAGCTGGCCACCTGCCGATTAGCCCTGGTGCCTCCTAATTGCCCACTGCCCTCTACTCGCCAGAGATGGGGCACCATGGTGCAGGGTACAGGCATCCCATTTTCATTAAAATGTTCAACCTGGGCCTGCTCCACCAGTGTCTTCAGGAGGCCCGGGAACAGACAGTGATCCCAGAGATGCTGGCCACCCTTGCCTTCCCGGTCCCGATCATGGCCTGAACCCCATGGGTGGTGTCAAGCAATGCCTGCTCTGCCTGCCCCGTCTCGATTGAGGCCTGGACCCTGTGGGCGGGTGTCAGGCACTGCCCATGCCACCTGCCCCAGTCGCGGCTTGGACTCTGCAGGCGGCTTCAGGTGCTACCTGCCTCACCTGCCTGGTCCCCAATCACAGCCTTGACCCCGCAGGTAGCATCAAGGGCTGCCAATCCAGCCTGCCTGGCTTCAATTGTGGCCTGGACCTCTCGGGTGGCATCTGGCGCTGCCTGCCTCACCTGCCCAGTCCCAAATTGTGGCCTAGACCCCGAGGGTGATGTCTGGTGCTGCATGCCCCACCTGCATATGCAAATTTACCCACCATCTTTGTTGGGTTAATTTGTGTATCACTGCTGATTGGCTGTGGGCATAGCAGAGGTACAGTCAATTAGCATCTTTCTCTTTTAATAGTGTAGATGAGTTATCTACACTATTAAAAGGGCAATATGCAAACAACATCCTCATAGTAACAAGAGAATAGCAGGCTGTGTGGGGAGACCAGGCCAGCAGGAGGGGGGCAGTGAGGGCCAATCAGGCCAGCGGGGGGGGGGGGGGAGGGAGGGAGGGAGGAACGGGACACACAGTTGGGGGCCACCAGGTTGGCAGGCAGAGGTGTTAAGAATTGATCAGGCTGGCAGAGGGGGCAGTTAGGGGTAATCAGGCAACAGGCAGGTGAGCAGTTAGGAGCCAGTAGACCCAGATTGTGAGAGGGATGCTCCACGGGATCAGGCTGAAACCGGCAGTTGGACATCCCTTGAGGGGTCCCGGATCAGAGGGTGCAGGCTGGCCTGAGGACATGCCCCCCCTTCCCCCCCCCGCACAAATTTTGTGCACTGGGCTTTATAATATATATGTATATTATATATTATAATATGCCAAGTGTCCCTCAGGAATTCAACTGGGAGTTTGATCCCTCGCTATGACTTGTGCTGACCATCAGGGGGTGGTGCAGAACAAAGGAAGACCCTGGCCGGTAGCCAGAAGGCCCCGATTGGCCCCAACTGCCGGCCCTAGTGACCCTACCTGTACACATATTTTGTGCACCAGCCCTCTAGTTTGCTATAAAATCCTGGAGAAAGAAATGAGGGGAATATTTACCAGCCTGAAGTCGGGTGAATGATTCACCCCAGTTCGTAACACAATGGTTTTCTTTATACTGGAGTATATCCCAAGATTCCAGTCACTCCCAACTCTATCAAAAATTATTCTGAGATCTGGAATGGCCTTGCTTTTTCAAATAAACATATTATATATATTGGAAAAGCAATTCAAAAAGTTTGAAAATGGGAGAGCAATAGGAAACTAGGTAAAATATACATATGAAAAAAGATACAAATGTACAACATGAAATCAAGGGGAATCACAGCAAACAAGGTAAAGTGTGCACATGAAGATTTACCTATTTGAAAGGGAGAGTTAAGCATGCCTTTATTTTTCATTTTTAAGAAAATGACACACTTTTTTTAAGTAGTCAATGGAAGGGGCTGACTTCCCTCATCCTGTCATAAGAAAAATATCTGAATCAGTACACAATGATACATATACTAAGAGCCAACTTATTCCAGAGAACCAAAATTGTCTCCAAATCTCCCCTCCTTTTTTTCCTATAAATGATACACATTTCTATCTCTGCTTCCTTGATTACACAACTGATTGTATGTTGCAAACAGTTATTCGAGGTAGTAATTTTCATAAGTCAGCACAAAGACTGGATTAGAGAATACTGAACCACTATTACAGAGTGAGGTTCCTGTGAGCCTCTGGTCATATTTGCCAAGCATCAATACAATGTATTGTTGAGTCATTTACATTAAATTCATGGCCAACAGACTCCTGACTGAATGAATCTTATCTAATGCAGGTGTTTTCTCCTTAGGAAGCTTCTCAGACTTCTTGTGATTAGGAACACTAGGCTGCACTTCAGGATGACATTTAGAAGCCATTTAAAATAGAGAAATAGCCGAAACTGGTTTGGCTCAGTGGATAGAGCATTGGCCTGTAGACTGAAGGGTCCCAGGTTCGATTCTGGTCAAGAGTATGTGCCTTGGTTGCGGGCACATCCCCAGTGGGGGGTGTGCAGGAGGCAGCTGATCAATGATTCTCTCTCATTGATGTTTCTGATTCTCTAGCCCTCTCCCTTTCTCTCTGTAAAAAATCAATAAAATATATTTTTAAAATAAAATAGAGAAATACCCAAAAAAAGAAAAGCACAAAAATGAGACACCCCCTCCCCCCCCCAATCCACACATAGCACTAGGCAGAAAAAGGACACTTACTTACAGTTTGAAAGATGAGATATGAAGACACAATATTGTTTTGACTTCCTGGGAAAATGTGCCTAAGGTGACTCAAATATTGTGCTATGTCCAAGAATGTCATCAAAAGAATTGTATTGATTTGGGGTTTACAAATAAATTTTAGCACGTAGTCAAATACAAAATTTGCAAATGAGGATTGATTGTACATAAGTTTTAATTCCTTTACTGGGAAGCAGGGTTGTCTCAATCATAAACCAGGGCTGGGAAGTCACAAAAAGAGAACCTACTCTCAACTGCTTCCTCTAAATTCTCAGTGAGTTGCAATAACATGGCAACCAAAATGGCTAAGATATAATAGATATCACTCAAGAAATGACTTATTACCATCATTTTAGTTTTTATTGTAGTAAAACAGAAGATGGAATAATAGGGCATTTCAGAAACAGGTTCAATTCCAACTCAGTGAAAATTTATAATCTTCTCAAATGCCTGTCAAATGTATTCCTGAATATCTCAACCAGAATTAATTTCATCATCTTTTTGAGTTAAACAAGCAGACTACTGGATCCACAAATTATATTACCTGTCCAATTTTCCTATATCAAACATCTACCACGGTTTAAACCTATTAAGAGTACTTAATCCTCCCAAATAAATAAGTTTATAAAATCACCTCCAAAATCAGTAGCCCATTCTGGTTTACCCTCCTTTGATTAAACAAGCTTAAGCTTAAGATGTTTCACTTTGCTCTAGTAGTACTTAGTTCCATACTTAGTATTTCAGACTTCTTAAATCTTAGGAAAAGGAATGTACGCTGTCTGTCTTCTTTCAGAATGTGGTTAAGAGACCACACCACCTACCATATTAGTTACTTTCCTGCATGCATGGACTCCTCTACCACCTCATATCTCAAGTCCATTTTTTTAAAAAATCACAAAATGACTCACTGCTAATCTATGTTCCATTCAAATAAGATTTCTTAACCAGGAGTTACCAGAGGCATTTCAGGGCCTGAAGGATTTTTCTGAAGAGAAAACATAATTTTTATTAGATGCTCAAACAGGAATATGATCATTCAAACCTCTAAAATTTTTAGAAATGCCTCATTGGATTCTCTTGTTTTATATAATTTTCATGGCTGGGACTATTCAGTACAATTTGACATAATTTATATCTAGTCCTGTTCTCCAAATTTCTACCACCTCTAGCAAGTTGTAATTTTATAAACAAAACCAGGCACTTTTATATTTTTGGGATACAATCAAACATGCCACCTACATACCAGCATTTAAGAAATTTTAAGTAATGTCAAATATAACCAGATTATATTTTAACACAGTACTTCACAGAGTTCAAGATTTAAATAAGGGCAAATTAAACCATAGTTGAATAAATCTTCTAAATATATTAAAGTGTTAGTGATACTTCTGTTTCAAAATTGCTGAAAAGTATGTTATTTTCTGGAAATGTACTTGGCGTAGAAAGCAGCAAAGAGGTCCTTATAAGGAGTGTCTGAATCTCCCTTGGTCAATGGTATACGGCAGAATTGGCGAAACCTAGGAGAACGCAGCAGCAAGTTCTGTGAAAGGCCCATGAAGCTGGAGCAGAACCAGTAGAGAACAAGTGACTGTAAAAAAAAAGGGGGGACATGAACATTAGCACCACTCATTCTCTACAGACACCAAGCTTCACAAAGGAAATTATGAACTCTGCTAACAGAAGTACACTAGGACTAAACACGACCTGAAATGGCAATTAGATATCAGTGACGGTCTAATAGGTAAGAAAACAGGATGAAAGAAAGACCAAAAAGCAGAAAGAGAGGTATTCGTGAAGTGGATGACAGAGTACCTCCCAGGGCCCAAGAGAGGTCTCTTGCCCTTCTATGGCGTTTAAGCTTTTCCCCACCAAGAGACCTGACAAACTGCCGTAATTGGAGGAAGGGTCCTAGAGGCACAGCCATTTACGATGGCAAACTTAGCCTCCCAACTCTTCACTTTCCTCCATGTAGTCAATTACCAAATTTTCTAGTAACCAGTTGCTAAGGATGGTCAGGAATGCCTTATCTTTGCCTTTTCTGAGACTTATAGCTCAGCATTATCTTCACTTTTCTTTTGTACTTCCATCCAGACTGATGTATGTAGGTCAGTGACTAAGTTCTACAGTCTCACAAAACAATTTCCATACAAACGCTTCTTTGGCATCAGAAAGTCACCAGAACCCAGAGGCATGACTGTGTGGTGGAGTCCAAGCCCTGGAGTCAAACTGCTTGAGTTTGAATTCCATTTATTTGACTTTGGGTAAGTTATTTTTCTTCTGTTTTGGTTTCCTCATTTAAGGTTGCTGTGAAGAATAAATGAGATAACTCACATAGAATGGTAAAGTAGAGTGTGGTCCGTATTAAACACTTGCATTTGTTCCAAAAGCAAGTTTTTAGGAGCAGAGAGTAACACATCATCAAAGGCAGATTACCACTGTAGTTAAGAGCAAGATCCAAGCTGCCTGGATGTGTAAGACTCTGGCCACTTAACAGATGAGTAACCTTAGATGAGTTACTTAACCTCTCTGCTTAAGTTTCCTCATCACTAAAGTGGAGATTACCATAGCAGCTACCTCAGTGCATTATTGGGAAAATTATTAAGTGCTAATATGTGCAAACCACTTCAAATAGTACCTGGCACAAAGTCAATGTTGACTAAACATTAGCATCACCATCAACTGATTTATCCACTAAGCAAAAAGTACCCTGGACTCAACTGTACAAACTATAAGTTGTCTATTAAAAATCACTCTTCTTCCTTAGTAATAAAGTCCTAATTTCCAGAAGGGTATATTGCCATGGCAAAGAGAAAGACTTCTTTTCTCAGCCTCTTCACAGTGAGATGTGGCCAGATAACTAAGAGGTGAGCAGGAGTGTTTAGTGGGACAGCTGGCAAGGCTCCCTCCAAGGGCTACTGCACATGAAGCACCCTTTTACCACTCCTGCAGATGACAAGCTCCAGCAGCTATAACGGCCATACTGGGGCCTGAAGGACAGAAATTATGAACTGTGGATGGAGAATTAAGAGAAAAGCAGCCCTAACTGGTTTGCAACAGGGATTGGCCCTAAACCAGCAGTCAGACATCCCCCGAGGGGTCCCAGATTGGAGAGGTTGCAGGCTGGGCTGAGAGACTCCCCCCCAAACCCCAACCCCTCCCCCCTCTGTGAATGAATTTTTGTGCACTGGGCCTCTAGTACGAAATAACTGCAAACATAACAATTTCTCTATTTCTATAAAAGTTTAATTACAGCATTCACCAGTTTGGCTCAGTGGATAGAGCATTGGCCTGTGGAATGGGACTGAAGGTTCCTGAGTTCAATTCTGGTCCAGGGCACATGCCTGGGTTGCAGGCTCAATCCTTATTGGGGGGGTGGGGGGAGAGGGTGTGGGGTGCAAGAGGCAGCCAATCAATGATTCTCTCTCATAATTAATGTTTCTCTCTCTCTGCCTCTCCCTTCCTCTATGAAATTTATAAAAATATTCTTTAGCTTTAACTGGTTTGGCTCAGTGGATAGTGTTGACCTGCAGACTAAAGAGTCCCAGGGTCGATTCAGGTCAAGGGCATGTACCTTGGTTGTGGGCACATCCCCAGTAGGGGATGTGCAGGAAGCAGCTGATCGATCAATGTTTCTCTCTCATTGATGTTTCTAACTCTCCCTCTCCCTTCCTCTCTATAAAAAATTAAAAAAATATATTAAAAAGTAAAAATAAAAGTTTAATTACAAATAAATGGGGGCAAGTGTACCTATCTCATAAAGACTTGTATGAGGTTAAATAATATTACATATGAACTTGGCACAAAGTTTGTTTTTCGAATTTTTGATTTTTTACAGAGAGGAAGGGAGAGGGATAGAGAGTTAGAAATGTGGATGAGAGAGAAACATTGATCAGTTGCCTCCTGAACACCCCCTACTGGGGATGTGCCCGCAACCAAGGTACATGCCCTTGACCAGAATCGAACCTGGGATCCTTTAGTCCACAGTCCGACGCTCTATCCACTTAGTCAAGCTGGTTAGGGCTTGTTTCTTTTGTAAGTGCTCAATTCCTTAGCTAAGTCTATATATAGAGAAAGAATTCAATATATCAACTAATCAAATAGAGCAAATACTTTGTTCATAGTAGTGTACAAGGTATTTTGCAAAACTGAAAAAGAAAAAAACGTTTGATTTAGTAAGGGAGTTAAGACACATACACATAAAGGAAGATCAACCAATCCCAAGAAATATGTGTCACTCAGTGATAGAGACAGTAAATTAGTTATTACAGAAAAACTTAGACACCAGTAAGGGATTGAGTTTTCAGAGAAAGCTCAGGAGATGAGGCAGAACTCAGCGAGATGAAGCTAAGATCAGATAAGATTTAGCCCACACTGCTGTTTACTCACCGAAGGTACTGTCGCAGCAATTGGAATCATCAACACGGATATTCCCCGAACAAAGTGGGTAACACCCGTCTGAAAACGAGACATTCCCACCTTTTGTAGAGCAACAATCTGAAGGGCAGAATATATACACACACCATGATTATTAAAATGCATAAAATGGCCTTCACTTACATTTTAACCAAAGAAACAAAAGAAAACACTTTTAAGTTTATTTGGTTGATCATCTATCTTTGATAAAACTTAATTATGCAGAAGTCTTAAACGTAGCTTTAATTAGTAGCAATAAAGAAGAGATTCAACAAGCTATACTAATAAAGGGCTAATACGCTAATTTGACTAGACAGACCGGACGTCTCCCAGACATCCTTCTGGACAAAGCTGCAGCGGCTGCGAGGGCCGAGGACCGTGCTGTGGGAGAGGCGGTGCTTCGGGCCAGTCCAGCACTGCAGCCCCTTCCGCAGAGGCAGTGGGAGAGGGGACTGGCCCCAGTGCTGTCCCTTCTGCAGAGGCAGCCTCAGAGGCAGGGGCGTGAGCCTGGTCCCAATGCCACACTTCCACAAACGCTGGACAGGGTGTGACCTGCTGTGCCTCAACCTCTCACAACCCCTCTCCCAGCCAGCCTGGCCCCAGATCACCCCTCACCCACCAGTGGGCAGGGGGCAGGGCCAGCGCTAAGAAGCAAGGGCTGAGGCCAGCAGTCGTGGTGGCAACTGTGAGGGCCAGCAGTGGCAGCAGCAGCGGAATGATGGGGCGAGGCGCCTTTTCCTGATCAGCCCACAGAGGGAGGCCAGAGGCAGCAGCAGCTGCGGGGTATTGGGGGTGGTGCCTTCCTCTGACCAGCCCAGTCACTTCCCTCAGAGGACATTCCGAGGGCTCCTGAACTGTGAGAGGGGGCAGGCCGGGCTGAGGTATTCCCCTTCAGTGCATGAACTTTCGTGCACCAAGCCTGTAGTAGTAAATAGAATCACAGCATAACTTTTATAAGTCAATGGTTTGTAAAGATTATAAGATGGAAAGTCCCTTCAAGATAGGTACTATGGCCTTGGCCGGTGTAGCTGAATTAGTTGAGAGTTGCCCCGTGCACCAAAGGTCTGGAGTTTGATTCCTGATCCAGTCCCTGCTTGGGTTGCATGCTAGAGGCAACCAATCTCTCACATCAATGTTTCTCTCCCTCCCTTTCCCTTCCTGTATCAGTCTCTCAAATCAATAAAAACATTTTAAAAGATAGATATTATGTATGAATCATTACCCTTGTTTTGAGTACAGTTCCTGGCATAAAGAAGGACCTTGGTATCTCAAAGATTTGTGATCTGGCTACACGGATAAAGGGGAATAATCAAAGCGAGAGAAAGCAGTCATAATTTATGAATTATTTTGGAGGCAACATAGCAGTAATAATTATGAGTCCAGAGTGCAGGCCCAAACTTCCTAGGTTCACATGGCAGCCCTGTATTTAGTGGTCATATGACTTTGTGCAAGTTATTTAATCTTTCTGTTCCTCACTTTCTCTGCATGTAATATCAAAATGCATGTAATAGTAATAGTACCTGTATCACAGAATTAGTCAAAGATTAAATGAATTAATTAGCCTTAGCTGGTTTGGCTCAGTGGATTCCAGTCAAGGGCACATATAGGCTTGATCCCCAGTAGGGGGAGTGCAGGAGGCAACTAATCAATGATTCTCTCTCAACATTGGTGTTTCTATCTCTCTCTGAAATCAATAAAAACATATTTTTTTAAAAATGAGTTAATTAATGTAAACAGGTATATGTTAAGTAAGAATGAGCTTTTCTTAAACATATACTTACTGGGTTATAGATGGCATAAAGGAAAGACTAAAGGACTGACATTAATCCATGTAACTTCGTATTTATCACTTTCTTCCAACAAATATTCACTAAGTCCAACCACATTCCCAAGACTCTGCTGGGTTCATCTAGGGAAATACACTTAAACCACACTTAGACTGGAGTCTTTCCTCAAGAAACTTTCACCCAACACCTTCCAGTATCACATTCATTTTTCTTGTCTAAGAAAATAAGGGTATATGAGATTTCCCAGAGACCAGTGGGCATGAAGTCTATGAGATCATTTCTAAGGTTTCTTCCAGTTCAAAGAGTTGATGTTCTTTTCAGAGTTTGAGAACAGCTCTTTATGAAATTAAAGGCATGCTTCCCATAAACTGTTGAGTAAAGGAGCATGGAATAATGGTAAGATATGGCTTAAGAGGTCATATTGAATATATATGTGTTTTTCCACTCCATCTTATAAAGAAATTCTATGATTTCTAAGGTCGCATAACCAAAAAATGGGAGTTAGGTAATGACTTTATTCTCTGCCTACAGATTTATATATTAAACATATATACAAAGTACCAATCTATTGTGGGAATACAACCAGATTGATTAGATATCTTCATCACTGTCTTCACCAAAAGTAAATCACAAAATTGAATGTATTAGAATCATATAATTTTAAGGTTGAAAGAGACTTTGTAAGTGTTCTAATTCAGCTTTCTTACTTTAATTATGAACATTCTGTCTCCCAGAGAGGTTAAAGAACTGACCCAAGACAGTTTGTCGATGGTTGACCTGCAACCAGAAACCAAACTTAATTCTAGCTCTATAGGCAGAACCCCAGCCCGAGGAAGCTAAGATCAGACAAGATTTAGCACACAGTGCTAAAGGTACTGTGGCAGCAATTGGAATCAATACTGATACTCCCCGAACAAAGTGGGTAACACCCGTTACCTACTCACCTCCAGGGAGTTGTTCTGAATTAAGACTCAAAACACATTTATATTTGATGTCAGACAGCAACAACAGAAATCCTAATAATTTAAATGGCAATTTAAATGTTTTAAAACTACTGACCTCTACTATTACTAAATTGATGGCACCAATGCAGATAGGCAGAATCCAAGTGGAATCCAGTGCAGTGAGGTCAGGAATCCACAGGACCCCACCAGTCGCTAACTGCTCCTGCACAGAAAAACCTGCTGAAAATTTATAAATAAAATAATTTATTACAACAGCAGAAGGAAATACACAAGACGTTAGATGATAATTCCAAAAAGGTGCCCCTCACATTAAAGATTTGCATTGGTTTTATTCAGGCTCTTTTCATTCCATAACACAAATCAGTCCTTCCTGGATTGAAAAAGAGGCAAGCAGCTTTCTATAGCAAACAGACTTAGAAAGAATAAAAATGTGTAGCTGTGCCCTGACCTTGTGCTAAATGGTTAGAGCATAGACTCATACACAGAAGAGTTGAGTTTGTAACAGACACCTATATTTTCTGATGCCTGAATTGGCTTAGGTTGTCCAACAAATCAGACTTCTGCATCAGCATGCCTTTGGACATTATTTTATCATCTGTGTGGACAATTCGATTTCCAGTCAAGGGCACAATTCCTTGTCAAGGGCACGTACCTGGGGTGCAGGTTCAGTTGGGGTGTGTGTGGGAGTCAACTAATCTCTCACATGATGTTTCTCTCTCTCCCCTCCACTCTTTAAAAATCAATGGAAAAATATTCTTGGGTGAGGATTAACATCAACAAAAAAGTAGCAATAACCATTTTAGGCTTAACTTTATATAATTATGTAGCCATAACTGCTTCTTTAGAATCTATTAAGATTACTTTCTGGTTCGAAATGCCTTTAAATTAAGTAAAAAACAAATGCTTTAGTTCATATTGTTTCTTAATTAATGTTTACTTTTATTACTGTGAAAGCTTTTCTGTTTTCTTGCCGAAGCTGGTTTGGCTCAGTGGTAGAGCATCAGTCTGCGGACTGAAAGGTCCCAGGTTCGATTCCAGGCAAGGGCATGTACGTTGGTTGCGGGCATATCCCTCGTAGGGGGTGTGCAAGAGGCAGCTGGTCGATGTTTCTCTCTCATCGACGTTTCTAGCTCTCTATCTTTCTCCCTTCCTCTCTGTAAAAAATCAATAAAATATATGTAAAAAAAAAAAAAAAAAGAAAGCTTTTCTGTTTTCTTAAGTTTATAAACAAAAACAATTCCTGGTTAGGAAACCAAATTATGAAATTATAACACTAATTTTATTATGATCTCTAAGAAGCAGAATTACTGCTTTCCTTTCTACATTTATTTTTCTCAGCATATCTCGTTGGCTTACACTCAATATTTTAAATTGTATATTTATACCCTTTATAAGCAGGACTGGTTAAAGTATTCTAACTATGAAAAGTATGGGGTGTTTTTTTTCTCTTTTCTTTAGAGTACAAAGACAATGTTAGGGAATTTATTTGGGGGGAAACAAACTTCTATAATAACTACCTTCTGAATGGGTTGCTCCTGTGCTAAAATTCCGCAGAGCAACAGACATAAAGATCCACATTGGAAGCTGAATCCAGACCAACACTGTGGCTTTGAAAGGGTGGCAATTATCCCGAACATACAGCTCTGAAACAAGCCTCTGCATATTCTTTAGATAAGTGAACCTATTTTGAGGAAAGAGGGGAAAAGAAAAGGGAGAAAAGGTCATTGGATCACTTACAAGTGCTTCATAACCAGAGCACTTATTGGCTGAAGAATTTGTGTGCAATTTTTAATTGTCATAAACTATCTTAAGGAGCTGCCCAAATAAAAGGTAAATAAAGCCTTTTACTGAAAATTCTCTAGCAATGTATATAAATTACATAACAATTCAATAAATCTAACATTGGCGAACTATAAGCTTTGGCTAGTCAGGCTTTAACAAGGGAAACCTCACTACTAACTTGGTATTACTGCAATTTCTATAGGAAATATAAAAAGTAAAAGTACATTTTATTCAAATCCTTCCATTCCAGCCAAGCTCAATTACTTGGTGCCTGAATATATTTTTTTGTACCAATGTGGTTTTGTACTGAGTGCGCTCTTAGCCTGTCAAAACAGTCTCCATTCTTCAATTCTTTTTCATGAATATTTTCTTCCCTGTTAAGCGTATTAGTTATTCCTTTTGTTAAGTCTCACTTTCTTGACTAGTCTCCTTGAAGATCAAGTGCTGGGTTTTATTCATCTCTAAATCTCTTGCCGTATATTTTGTAAAAGGTATGGCATTCAATAGGTTTGCTACATTTACTTGAATTAAGACACCACTCACGGACATTCCAGGCTCTTTGTAATTCTGTTACTCCTTTACAGACACCTGTATTTTCTGATGCCTGAATTGGCTTAGGCCATCCAACAAATCAGACTTCGGCATCCGCATGCCTTTGGAAATTATTTTATCATCTGTGTGGACAACCCACTATCTTGGCTGTCCACCTAAAAAACTCCCTTTCATCTTTCAAGATTGTCCCAATGAAAACATAGGAAACCTTCAGAGTGTCTTTCTAGAAAGCCACCCATCTCCATAACGATGTGGTTGAACAATCGTCATGCCAATGCTGCATCACCAGGTGCCACCAACTTATCTAGGATGTATTTATAACCCAGGTGAGCAGCTGTAAGTCTGTTCTTTTGGCATAGAGTTGTATTTCTGAGATTTCTCAGATCAGTAAAACTTCAAAACTACAGATTTGTCCAGTCTTTTTAACACTAAGAAGCACTTTCATAATGAAAATAGTTGGTAAATTTATACCAATAGAGATAAATGTATGGATAACCATATATATATATATATATATATATATATATATATGTGTGTGTGTGTGTGTGTGTGTGTGTGTGTGTGTGTGTGTGTGTGTTTCTCATTTCCGTGAAATGGTGAACACTATGTCACAATAAAGTAAGAGTAAGAATTTGGGCCAAAACCGGTTTGGCTCAGTGGATAGAGCACTGGCCTGCAGACTGAAAGGTCCAGGTTTGATTCTGGTCTAGGGCATGTACCTTGGTTGTGGGCACATCCCCAGTAGGGGTGTGTAAAAGGCAGCTGATCGATGATTCTCTCTCATCGGTTTCTAACTCTCTATCCCTCTCTCTTCTTGTCTGTAAAAAATCAATAAAATATATTTTTTTAAAAAGAATAAGAATTTGGGAAACTAAGAATAGCTTAGGTTGACTAAAGCATGATGACTTAGAAGTTCCCAGTGGATGACTATGGGCAAGGGTTTCTAGGACCCCAGAAAGATTACTGCACAGGGTAGCCACAGTGGATGGACAACACCCTAGCTATCAAGTTGCTTTTAATATTCACATTTTCTACTTCCTCATTCCTGAGGGCTGTTGCCTACTGTATCTTTTCATAAAGGTCAAGTTTGGAAAATAACCTGCATTAATTTGCTGACTACAGCACCAACAGATTGGCACAGTATCTTTATCCTGTGAAGCCTTCCCTGACTTTCCATAATGATCCAACTCCTTGCACAAAACCTTTTTTATAGTACTTAATTCAGTCATTATTTGCTTGCAGGTCTTATGAATAGGGTGGGGTGACTTTCAGAGTAAGAAACCTGCCTGGCCCCAGTGGCTTAGTGGTTGAGCATCAACCTATGAGCCAGAAAGTCACAGTTTGATTCCCAGTCAGGACACATGCCCAGGTTGCAGGCTTGAGGTCCCCAGAAGGCAGCCGATCAATATTTCTCTCTCATCGATATTTCTATCTCTACCTTATCTTTGTTTCTCCATTTCTAAAAGTCCAGAATATAAAACAAGGTGTCCCCAAAAATGTATAGTTTAACAGCTGATAGCTCAATTTTGAAAATCAAATGTATTTTTATAATACTGCCTTTATAATTATTCAAAGTGTGTACAATTTTTTGGGACACCATAAATTATGCCAATCCTGACGGGGCAACTCAGTTGGTTAGAGCATCATCCCAATACACCAAGGTTGCAGGTTTGATTCCCCAGTCAGGGCCTATACAAGAACCAACCAATGAATACATAAATAAGGGGAACTTTATCTCTCTCTTAAATCAATAAATAAAAAATAAAACTATCATGCCACATAAACTTATTAAACTATTAAAGAACTACTTTGCTGCTAAAGCTACAGAATACTCAAGCCTATAATTAACATAATCACTTTCACATTATATACATATATCTTCATGGTCTTATTTGCACAGAATTATCTTACCTGGCAACTCTTTTGGACCACCCCAACTGTTTTGCACGAACTGCAACTTCATAGTTAAGGTGTTGTGCAATATTTTGTATTTCTGGCTTCAAATTTTCCACCTAGCTAAAGAAAAAGTAGAATTTGTTATGAGTACATAAAGGATCTTTATTTACAACCACTCATAATTTTATTTTCTATCCCCTCAACTCATTTAATACAATATTTGTTTACTGCCCAGCCAGAGTGGCTCAGGGACTTACAGTGCAGTCTGTTCCCACTGGAAGGTTCCAAGTCCCATTCCTAGTCGGGGCATGTACTGGGCTGCCAGTTCCATCCCCAGCCCATCAGGCCAGGCTGCATTTGGGAGGCAATCAATGGATGTTTCTCTCTCACACTGATGTTTCCATCTCTCTCTCTCCGCACCCACCTCCTGCCTCCTTCCCATTCTATCTGAAATCAATGGAAAAAAATATATATCCTCAGGTGAGGATATATATATATATATACACACACATATACATATATGTATATATATATATAGTTTACTGAGCATGTCAAAAAACCTTAAGTCTAAGCCTGAGATGTTAAATTGCTTAAGATAGCCTCAGCTACAACCAAATCCAAATTCCGGATTACACTTTGCTATGTGCTATTGGGCAAGTTCCTTCACCTCTAGGACCGGGTGACCTTTATTCCCTCATAAATAAAATGTGCAACAGCACCTACTTCACGGGGTTGCTACTGTAAGGATTAAATGAGCTGCACCTGCACTTTCACGTTTCATCCCCGGCTTTCCCAGTACCGGGCCCCGTGTTGATTCTGCCAGGTAACTCACTGCCTTCATGCATATGCTCCTCATTCATTCCTCTCACCAGGCCGGTAACCACCCCTGCTTTGAGCACGACCCCAGGAGGGTAAACGAGATGGCTGGTGCACGTATCACTAACCATCCCCTCCAGGGTTTCCCAAACTTTTGACATGTGTGCACCCCTTCTATAATGTTCCTAACGCTGCCTTTACCCCTCGTACTCATGAGAACGTCGAATCAGGCGCAGCTAAGCACGGTGCAGTGCATGTCCTCACCAAACTCTTCCCGTACCCCTGGGGGTACGCGTACCACACACTTTGGGAAACACTACGTCCTCGGTAACCTCCTTAGCAATGAAGCGGTCGCCACGACGAACCCCCAGCAGCACTGCTCCGGGCGCGGCGGCGCCCTCACCTTGGCCAGGATGTAGTGCTGGTAGGCCGCCAGGGGCAGCGTGACGGCGCCGCGCAGGGCCACGGTGGTGAGGAGGATGCTGCCCCACCAGGGCAGGCCCGAGACGCCGTGCGCCGCGAGCAGCATGTCCTCCGCGCCTCGCACGGGCGCCGACGCGGCCAGCGCCTCGTACCAGCCGCCGGCGTCGCCCGGGTTCACGGCGGACACAGAGGCCACCGCCCGCGCCGGCAGAACCGAGGGCGTGACGCCGCGGGTCGGGACCGGAGCGAACCGCGGGCCCCGGGCTCCGGGCTGCAGGCCGGGCAGCGGCCGCAGCCGCCCACCGCCGAGCCGGCACAGCATGCGTGCGCCGGGGCCGAGCCCGGAAGGCGGGCTCCACAGACCGGCGGCAGGCACAGGTCCCGCGGCCCCGCGCGCATGCGTCCGCGACCCGGGAGCAGCGTACGGTGGGCGCGCGCGCGCACGTGCGTGCCCTCAGCCTCCCATCGACCTTCCCGGTCAGGCCGGTGACGTGCGCGTCGCACTGGAAATGACGTAAGACGGGGAAGTCCCGCCTTCCCCACGCGGCACTGGGCAGGCCCGCTGCGCGCGCAGGAAACTTTCCCGCTGCCGGCGTGGACCTGCTCGGAGGCGGGGCCGGATGGACAGAGGCGGCAGAGGCGGGGCCTTTCCAAAGTTAGTCTTCACCGTGCGCCTTTTCCTTGTTTTATTTTTTTACCTAGTAATCGAATTGTGTCATTTTAATGGATTAAGTTGGGGGGGGGGCGGGGAGGTTTGTGACCATAAAGTGGTCCCCACCTCTTTGTGTGCATCCTGGTTGCTTCCGCAGGATCGGTCAGAAACACAGGAGAGAGCCCTGTGTTTCTGACCGATCCTGCTTGAACCCTCACCGCTTAGGTACCAGGCACAGTCCTGCCGGGGGTATTAACATTTAACTGGCGCGTTATTTGTTCCAGTTGGGATTTTTAACCCCACCTGCAAACTGAGTTTCCTCGCTTTGTCTTTTCTAATACACAACTATCCACGTAAAAACATTCAGAATTTTTGTGAGGTTATTTGAGCCAAACTGTGGACAATTTCCAGGAAGCAAATTTCAAGGGTTGGGGTAATGCTCCAGAGAATGGCTGTTTTTCATCTATTTTTATACATTCATTGGGTGGTTTACATGAAATCCATTGGTGATGAGAGTGGGAGAAAGCAAAGCAGGGAAACCTCTGGGATGAGATAGTTAACAGTAAACAGTTCACATAACAATAACTATGAAGGAGTTTGTGGTCTCCTGTCCTGGTGCCCAGGGCATTAGGTTGTGGTGTGAGGTGTCTGGAAAAAAAGGGAAGTTATAAGTTACAAGACATTTAAAGGTATGTTATTATAGATGCAAGAAGACAGATAGGCTCAGTTGAGGTAAAGGTTGACCTTGTCAGTGAAGATACTGGCTTGGGATGTAACTGCCCACCATCACTGCTTTTAGTTCAAGTTTAATTTAGACCATCCTTTGTGGTTACTTTATGTCTCTGGGTTTGCAAGACCGCCATGCAGGCCTTCCCTGAGCTTATCAGGTCAGCATGTGGCCCCTTTCATCCACATAGCAAAACTTATATTGAAGGTCAAGTACCATTTCCTAAGTTAAGAGGAATTATGGGCAATACGGTGAATTTACTAGAGCTTAAGTTAACATGCATAAGCTTTCCAGTCCGAATAGCAACATTAAGTGTCTTCTGGTTAAAAGGAATACACCAAATCTTAATGGACTAATTTTTAGTATTGTTGCTGGTAACAGAAAACTGAGTGACATGAAGGGTCACCACTAGACTTAGGGGCCAAATTGTGTTTTGTGGAATAAAATGTTAATTAAAACAAAGAAACCTCTGATAAACATTGGGGTAATGTCAAATTGCAGCAACTAGTAAGTACTGTTGAGGGTGGCTGGAAGGGCACAGGTGTTAGACCTCTGGGGTCAGGCCATACTTGGGTTCAGCAACCTTGGTTCTTGGGTTCTGGCTATGACAGAATTCAGAGCGAAGACTCAAACTTTAAGAGACATTTATAAAATCATGGAGGTGGAATAAGTAATTCGTGCAAGAAATTAGGCTTCGGAAACAAGTTATAGAGGTAAAGGAAGGGCCCTTGGAGCTTAGAAGTGAGGAAAGTAAAGGTGATACAAAAGGCAGGAGGAGGGAAAGGAATGCTCCTGGGAGGGAGAGCCCAATGGGTCCCCTGTCCTCAGGGTTTTAAGGGAGGAGATTTTAGGGGATCTCAATAGAATCTTCAGCAGCTTTCCTGATCTCCACTGATTGGTTGGTTGGTACCAGGAGTGGCCATTTTTCAATGCAACTGGTCCTGAAGTCAGCCATGGCTTTGCTCCTCTGGTTTTGCTGCTTTTTTAGGCCTTGAGCTAAAATGCAAATGAGGTCTAGATGTTATCTCTAGGAAGGAAAGGTGAGGGGGTCCAAACAACAAGACCACTGATATAGTAGTGAAAGGGTTAACTTAAAATGCAGCAGATAGGGCAAGGGTCCAGTGGGAAAACATAGGCAGAGGCAGACATGGCAGTTTGAGCCAGCCTAACCACAGGAACCAACCCAGCAGAAATAAAATGTTTCTGGACTCAATGTGGGAGGCATGGGAAAACAAGGGAGGGCCTATAGCAACAAGAGGTACAAACACATAGAAACAGAAAAAGTTCAGCATAGGAACAGAGAACACACAGAGACGGAAAGTTTAGGTCCATTGTTGGGCAAAAACAATTGAAGGAATCAATCAAGTGATGACACAGATATAGAAGCAGGTGGCAAATATATACCCTGGGCTATAAGGCTTTAACGGGCAGCCCATTGTTGGGTCCCCCTCCCCTTGTGGGGAGTCTGAATCTGCTTGTAATAAATTTTCAACTTTTGCTTAAATCTACTGGTCTGCATGGCTCATTCTTTGGTGTCCTGAGACACGACCCCAGGACCACACTGTGGGTCACTTTCCCAGTCATCACGAGGGAGGTAAGCCCACCTGAGGACGAGATCCCCCTACAGTTGTCCTTTGCTAGGCACCCAGGGCTTTCCACCTTCTGTACCTCGCCAATCGTTTTGATTATGCCACTCTGCCTACTACAGTACCAGGTAGTCTTCTCTGGAACTTATCTTCCTTCCAACTGATAAAGTGATGTGTGAATTTCTAAATGTGTTTAAATACACATATCCCAATATATGATATAAACGAATTAAAGTTCTGCAGCACACCACAAAAATATATATATATTTGCTGATTTGACAAAAATGTGTAATTTTTATTCACTCACACTGGATGGCTATTGTGTTGGCTGTTGTCACTTTTATATTTAACAAGCTAAGAGATCAGTGCTTCTGATTAGTCAGGTATTGCATATTTTAAAAATTCTTTTGACAGGCCAACACCGGTTTGGCTCAATGGATAGAGCGTCGGCTTGGGGACTGAAGGGTCCCGGGTTCGATTCCAGTCAAGGGCATGTATCTTGGTTGCGAGCATATCCCCAGTAGGGGGTGTGCAAGAGGCAGCTGATCGATCTCTCTCTCTCATCTATGTTTCTCTTTTATCCCTCTCCCTTCCTCTCTGTACAAAATCAATAAAATGTATTTTTTTAAAAATTCTTGGGACACATGGGCTTTAAATTACTGTTTTAAGTTAAAAAAAAAAAAGCAACCGGCTACTTTAAAAATATATTTTTTTGTTCTTAAAATGTATTTGTTGTAATAGTGGAGATATTTTAAATGGAAATATCTTCACCTACATATTGTGGCAGAAGTGACTTCCATGGCATTCTCCTCCTCCTCAGAAAATTGTTGACATTGGGAGTTGGTCCTTATAGTGGCAATGAAGACTAGCTACTAAGACTTAAAATCCAAGAGACACGGAATTGATTAAAAAATATCCTAAAACAAAAAATCCTATTCATTCACTATTCATATAATCTAAATCAAATGCTTTCAAGCTATTGCTGAGATCCCTAAGATTTCCTACTGTGGAGCTGTATCAGGGGTCAGGACTAGGATCTCTTCAAACAGTGTAGGCCCCTCTTTTCTGGGGTCATTGGGGTCACATTTTCTCATCTTAAAAGTGTTCCATTTGAATATTGTAATCTAAATGAAATTTATATTTAACCTATTTATTTTGTATGTGTAAACATACATTTTTAAAAATCAAAATGGGGATGATTAGATCTTGCTACCTACTTCATAGAGCAAGTTAGGGGGGAAATGTCTACCATTAATGTGTATGTATGTACTGGTCATCCAGCAGTGTGATGCATGTATCTTTTGAGTTGCAGAGTACAGTATAAATTGAGCATACAAATATTGAGCAAACCAAACAAAACCTTGTTAACCCTAACACTTTGCAAATGAACTTGTGCAACAGAGTAAAACAATTTTTAAGTTCTGTATTTATAATTAGTCTATTCCCATCATTATTACTATGTCACATGACTAATTTTTATTTAAGCTCCTTAAAAAGAGACTCTGTAATTTTTCTACAGCTTCTGAAATTCTTATCATAGTGCTGAACAAAGGACAGGAGCTCAAAATATGAATATAGGCCTAATATGCTTTCTGAAATGTTTGACAAAAGAAACTTTAAAAATTATTTTCATGAGCAATGTTAAAGTGATCTCTGGGATCAGACTTAGGTTTTTCTTATTTAAGTCCTTACTTTGCAAAACCAAAACTACCTAATGTAGTTAGCTTCTTTCTCTTTACTGAAAACAAAATCTTGTATAATTTGCTCATGATTAGTTTGTAAGCATTTAAGCATGCAAAATTGGCTTTTACCTTACAGAAGTGTGAATTCATTTAAAAGCAGTAATATGAAACCTTTTACAACACATTTATTAGTCCCGTTCCAACTGTCACATTATGAAGGAATTCTTCCTCTTGTCAAAGCCACAATGGCCCAGTTTTCTGTATATTCACTTACATACAAGTGATTGTATTTTTGCCGTCCATCAAGGTGTGTAATATAGGTAACATGGGTTATATTAAAGTATTTAATGATGCTGTCATGCTAAATTCCAGTCACCTGGAATTAACACCAGTTAATTCTCAGTAACACTAGCTTCTTGAGTATTCTGACTTAAGCATTTATCAATGGGATGCATATTTCCAGAAACTCAGGAGAATCCAGAATTTATAGAGTGTAGCATAAATATATAAAACATCAATATTAAAGAAAAATCTGGACAGGTGCATTTACCCTAGTTAATAGAAACTGACTGCATAGTGACTTAAAACAATAAATTAAGTCAAGGACCAGGTGTAAATCAGTGTTGAGTGTCAACCCATGAAACAGAAGCTATTAGAATTCCCTGACAGGCATGCCCAGGTTTTTGGGGGTTTCAGTCCCCACTAGGCCTGCAGGAGGCAGTTTATGGATGTTTCTCTCTATCCCTCTCCCTTCCTCTCTAAAATCAACTTTAAAATAAAAAAAAAACAATGAATTAGTATTCCTTTGATATTTTAATCATTTCAAAATAATTTTTATTTTAAAAATTGCTATTTTAAGTTTTGGCATGCTTTAAATGTTCTGTTCTGCAATGCGAGATCTGTGGGAATGTTTCTGAAAAATAAAATGAAAATAAGATTGAAAAAACCCAAGGATCTTAAGAGATTTTGTGATTTTAAGTTTTCCTGTTTAGTCTAACACTTTATATTGTTTCAATAAAGTAAATAATGTAGGGTGCAAAGTAATTTTTATGAAATGTATATTTAGGGTAATTTGAATACAAAAAAGATGGAATGATATTTTCATAAAGAACAGGCTCCATTTAGTAAACTATTTCCAGTTACCTTTTTTACTCCCTAAGAGGAAAAATGACTACGTCCTTTTCAATTAGCAATAAAAGGATTTAACTTTATAGTAATGAGAAACAGAAAGGGAAAATAATCTTTCAAATAGATACCAAAATGAATTTTTGTGAATATGTTGAGTATTTTGACTTAAGCATTGTGAAATATGTTTGAAAGGCATGAAGTGGGTATTCTGTTGGCACAAGGTAAACAAAATCATTTCTAAAGTAAGATGATTACTATAAATAGATTACAAAACAACTGCAATATTAACTATTTTGGGACATAAGGTCTAAACTAACCTAAGTGTTGCCCTAACCTATTTGGCTCAGTGGATAAAGTGCCAGCCTGAAGACTGAAAGGTCCCAGGTTCAATTCCGGTCAAGGGCATGTACCTTGGTTGCGGTCAGGGGTGTGCAGGAGGCAGCTGATCTATGTTTCTCTATCATCTATGTTCCTAACTCTATCCCTTTTCCTTCCTGTGAAAAATCAAAAAAATATGTATACTTTTAAGTGTTACTTCCAAGAATTAACTTTGTGAGACACACATTAATAGGTTGCCTGCCACAGGCGCCCTGACTGGGACAGGGAATAGAACCTACATTCCAGGCACATGCTATTGACCTGAGACCCTTCTTCCTTTGGTGCCAGGGGCCCATGTTTTAACCACCCACTGACCCATGCTAGCCAGGACTTAAGTCACTTCTTCTTTTTTTTTTCTTTTTTGTAATATATTCTATTGAATTTTTCACAGAGAGAAAGAGAGAGGGATAGAGAGGTAGAAACATCGATGAGAGAGAATCATGGATCAGCTGCCTCCTGCACACCCCCCACTGGGGATGTGCCCGCAACTAAGGTACATGCCCTTGACCGGAATCGAACCCGGGACCTTTCAGTCCACAGGCCAACTGCTCTATCCACTGAGCCAAACTGGTCCCAGCTTAAGTCACTTCTTAAAAGAATGAAATACATTGGGTCATCTGCAATTATGAATGGTCCCAAAAGATAATGCTTGTAACATTCAAATAAAAATGCACTGACTGCATTACATCTGAGATTTAAAAAATGTATTTGAAAAATGTTTCTAATACAGGCTTCTAAAAGCATGTTATTGTATTTAATAAGCTCGATCTCCAAAATTAAATATGGAGCATCCCAATCTATATCCCCATACCAAAGCCTGGAACTTAAGAAAATATAGGACTTTACTTTTTCAGTAAGATCCTGAATTTTAAGAAATTCAGTTTTGTGAATCAATAGCACTCATATGTTGTAATAAATATGGGGTAGTATCTGTTACCTAGCAAGGTAATTTTAATTGGAAAATAACCCTAGTTAATACAGGAAAGAAATTAACCAAAAATTAGGTAGGGCCAAAAGTTGTATGTAAAACATATATAAAACATTCTATTAAACAGCATTATATCCCTTTCTTAGTAAAGTGCTACAATTTTATTTCATAGCTGAATTCATTTGTAGGATCGTATTCAGCCTTTCCTTTAAATTTGGTTGTCAATCTGTCAAATGTAAAAACAAATTTAGCTATTTTAAGACCACCCCCTAAATTATAAAATAAAAATGTTTGTTTACAGACCTCGATATGTTTGAGAAATTTTTTATTCTTTATTCATGCCAGAGGTTAAAAAAAATGTTTTTCATTTACTTGAAGAGCCAAGGAACCATTATTAATATTGTGAATGCTGGTGATTTATCTAAATTTTAGTTTGTTTGTTGTGGAATTTGTCTAATTAAAAAAACAAACAGATTGATACATACATTACTTGACTTTTATGATTACCTTCTTTTACATTTCAACCATACAAATTTATTTTTCCATATGAGACAGGGTAGGACACATTCTTCTTGGATACGTTATTGTTTATTGTTTCAAGTGAATGGAATAGATAAATTCCACTGAATAGTTTAGTGTGGCCCTGTATCCTATATAAACAGGTTAAAAGAAGACTTTATTTTATAATCTGTATATTCACGTCTACCATAAGTTGTCTTATGACAAGTGCAGGATTTCTTTAATTACTTGCCCCAAGTTAGCAGTTGATCCTTTTCACTGATAATACACAAGTGTAGAGAACAAGAAGCCTTTAAATGGGAGGGGAGGGGGAGATACTTTTCCCTATATTACTGAAAATTGGAATTTTATGTTGACTCTGGATGACCAGGAAAGCCAGTATTAAGAATCAATATTATCCAATATAAAATAGTACACTGAATTATTTAATAATAAACAGTACATTAAGAGCTTGTATATGCTGACTGGGAACCAGTGGTGGCTTTTAAATTCTCAGAAAGGCTAATAAACATTTTATGGTTAGCAGAAACCACAGGTGATGATGAAGGTGCTCCATTTCTCTGTAGCAGCCATTACATTAAAAATGTTTACAAATTATCTCTTCGAGCAGTAAGAGAGTTTTACTGGTATTAGTGATAAAGGTGAAGAGAGAAGGAAGAGTGAAGTGTGCATTAGTTAAGTGTGGCAAGGCAATAAAAAGACATAGAAAAGTGATAAATTTCTTCTATACGTGCTTTGCTGCAAACAAATTCAAAGAGAAATATGGATATTTAAAAAGCCAATGTTGGGAAACATCCACTGATAATGCCCATTGTTTTACTCTATACTTAAATTACACAAGCAGAAAAGTTATGCTTATTAATAGTTTAATGTATGAAGGAAACATCCAGATTTCTGAATATGAAGGTACATATCTCACATTAATTTAAGTCTACATAAAGTAGAGCCTCTATACTGACATATTGAAATTTACTTTCTGCTTAGCCTTTTCTGTTATGTAAACAATTGTACATTTATTTGCCATTCTAAAACTTCAGGATCAAGTTTACATAATTTTGCTAAATTTCCGTGTTTGCTCAGAAGCAGTTTACAGTACTAATACCAACCAGCCAAAGAACAGCTTCAACAGAAAGTTATGTCCGAAGGGGAAGAGGGAGAGCAATAAAGAAAAATGATAAGAAAAATGCTAACTAAGGTAAAACAGATGATGATGGGGAATGGGCAGTCACAAATGTTCACAGAAAATAGGTCAGTTAGTAAGTTCTTCTGCAAAAAGCCTACACACTTCAGTCAAGCACATCAGTAGAATGATTTGGGAGCATAAAAATAGTTTTCCGGCCACTTGTGATTTCCTCTGGATGAAAAGGAATCTGCAGGCTAACAAGCTGATCCTCATCAGCCAAGCTGGTTCATATGCACACTGTTCATGTGAGGTGCCCAGGGTCCAGTCCACACCTATGAATAAAGAGCATGCATTTTATTAAATGTGTATTTAACATATAGTTGACTAAAATAAAACTCTAGCTATGGACTAAAATAGCTAAATCCCATTTAATTTGCAAAATACTTGAAAACAATGAAGAAAAGCAATTTTTACAAATTATTTCCTTGCCTCTCCTCTTATTCCTCAAAGAGAATCCATCATCACTTTTTAAAAACCATTACCTGGATACATAGATTTAGGACTGTAGAAGGGAAATGAGTCAAAGATATTAAAACATACACCAACAAACACCCTAGCATATACAATGTATCTATGAATTTGTTATAATTATACATAGTTTTGACATTTATGATTCTCCCTTTTCATAATAGTAGTAAATTTTGATCTATAAAATTATAAAACTTTGCAACTTAAAATCTTTTAATTACCATCTACTGCCCAATGAAATACTTTATGCCTTTCATAATTTTAGCACAAATTATGTACCATTTTCATCATCCCTCTGCTATATTAAATTTCCTTTAACTGCCCATGCCCATATTCACCATGATCTTTCACTACCGTGATTTACCTATCTTATTTGCCCCAGCAAATACATAAATTTGTCCCTATCTTATTTGTCCCACACTAATACATAAATGTTCACTTAATGATCAGCCTTACCGTTTGAGGGCCATTATTTTCTGTGGAGCTTGAAACCATCTTTATTAGGGAGTTCCAAGAGGGGTCTGCAGCATGAGGGCCATTAAATATGGGTCCTGCAGCACCATCAGGAATAGGTGCTACTGAAGGAATCATTGCATTCCCATACACGGAAAAAGGCATACCCTTAAAAAAGGAGGAAAACAATTATTATGCACATTCAAGAAACGGTTCACTTTTCCCAATATAATCAATAGACTTAAAATTAATATTTGATCCCTGGCTGGTTTGGCTCAGTGGATAGAGCATAGGCCTGTGGACTGAAGGGTCCTGGGTAAAATTCTGGTCAAGGACACATGCCCAGGTTGCTCAATTCCCAGTAGGGGATGAGCAGGACACAGCCTATCAACGTTTCTCTCCCATCATTGATGCTTCTCTCTCTCCCTTTCCCTTCCTCTCTAAAATAAATAAAAATATATTTTAAAATAATATTTGAAACTTCACCTCATTTTGGAAAAATATAAGTTATCTAGCTAATCTAAAAATTACTTTCCATCATAATGACTTCTTCTAGCATTAGATTATACATAAGCCTATTATATCCAAAATATTTTGTTAAAAAACATTTCTCTGAACTGAGAAAAAAAATTAAGATTTATAAACATTTATATTTTAGCCAAATTTTGACCTATAATTGTAGGCCGAAGCCCAAGAATCATTCTGCAAATGCTTATCCCCTCTTGAAAGTGAAATAAGACTAAGAAGAAAAACATCTGGAAATAAGGAAAATGTTTATTTAAATCACCATTACCCCAACTTTAGGAAAATCCATGTATCCTGCAGGAACATGCTGATGGAATGTACCAGAAGGAGTTACAATTCCTGTACTCTCTCGCTCCATTGCTTGGTGCTGTGAAAACACTCCTGGATCAGACATTGGCCTATGAATCATAGGATTTCCCATCCCAGGGTTACACCAGTCAACTTTGTCTGAGGGAAAAACAAAGAGGCAGGAGAAAATAATTGGTAACATTTAAAATCAGAAGACAGCAAAATAAAATGTTTTATATATTTCTAGTATTTACTACATTCAATTATGAATTCCTTCAGAATAATGACCTACTTTTACATAATTACTGCAGTATTTCTATGTTTGAAGGTAGTGATGTAATCTCTAACAAAATAACTTAAACACTTTGTGTTACAAAACAAAAGAAAAAAAAGCCAACATAAGGTAAAGGCTAGAGAACCCCAAAGGAAACATTAACATCTCTGTAACTGAAACGAGGAGAAGAATATGCTCACATCACAAAAGCATGTCAAAAATGCGGCCCGACCAATGTAATAGTGTATAAGAAACGTTTTAATAAAAACTTTGTCACTTAATGTTTACAATATCCTTTATGCATAATTATTAATAACGAGCTACAACGTTTGATAATGACTTATTACTATAATTGTGTTGTATTCATTTTTCTTTCACGCCTTACACCAGGGCGCACCGTTTTTCTCCATTAATACCAGCAGCAAATATTCTAGCAGCCAATTGCCACGTCATTATGATTTGTTTCTTTAGTGAGCGCAACAGGAAATATTTTGCTTTCAGAGAACAGGAAAAATAGGTTAATTTGCATTACACTTATTAATCTGTGCAGTTATTCAGTGTCTGATAAGTTAATGTTCAAGAAAAAAAATATAATTTTTATTAAAATGTTCTATTTTATGTTAACTATTGCTCATTTATCTCAGCCCTTTGTATTCAACGTGTCTCTATCAAAATAAACCTAGGTGTCTATGAAAATTGAAGCTTTTGCTTTTTTGTAGCTCACATAAACCTAACCCTTGTTATTTAGTCCGTGTTAGCCTTTAAGTTTGACATGCTTGCATTAGACTATTTTCAAAAAACAATGATAAATTTGATGGGAGGTAATATGGGAATAGTAAGTGTTCTGAACTGTAAAAATAAAAATGATTAATTTCCTGTAAGCAGAAAAGCGTATCATACCTTGATTGCCACCAATCCCTTCAAAAGACCAGATGCCACTATGCCCTACTGATGTGGACAAATTACTCCCAATAACAGATGGAGCTGAAGTTCCAGTTTGCCTGATACGTGCAGAACGTTCAGTCCCAATAGGGACTGGAACTTTTCTGTCCTGAGAGACGTTGCTGGGCTTTTCTGACCCTAAAGGTACTGATGATGGGGCAGGAGAAGGTGCACGAACTCCGGAGGATACTGACTGTGCAGGAGAATCTAGAGAAAAGATATTTTGCAATAGTATACATGTCATTTATGTAGCATGAAATTTTGTAAAACCAAATCTTAAATTCTAAAGATGCCTTAAATATGCATCCTGAAGAGAAATAAAATATAAGAAAAATAAAGTCATGGAACTTTAACCAAATGTTAAAATTTGGTTAAAGTTCCATGACTTCATAGTCATTTTTTTAATGTGGTGCACAATTTTCCATTTAGTTATTTGATAGTTGAATGCGAAGATGTTAGTGCTGCAACTAGACATGTAATAAACCATTAACCATTAAACTACTTAATATTTAAATTAAGTAATCCTTGACATTGAGTAAAATATACCAGAGCAATGGGAAGAAAATGATTAATTTTTTTTTTTTTAATGGAGGTAGGGAAAATCATGCCTATATTGGCAAGTCCCAATCCCAAGGATATTTTTCCATTGATTTTGAGAGTGGAAGAAAGAGAAGGGAAAGACATGAGTATTTGTGAGAAACAAATCAATTGGTTGCCTTCTGCATAGGCCTGACCAGGGTCTAGACCAGGGAAGAGCCTGCAACCCAGGTATGTGCCCTTGACCAAAGGCCGACACGCTATCCACTGAGCCAAATCACCTTGGGCCTTTGGTATCCTATATAACAAAAGCCTAATAATGCTAAGTGTTTGGTCATCTGTTCATCCTTGCAACCAATCAAAGCATAATATGCTAATGATATTCTAAGGCCACTCAACTACTCACTATGATGTGCATTGACCACCAGGGGGGCAGACAGCTGACTGGTTGACCAGTCACTATGACGTGCACTGACCATCAGGGGGCAGATGCTCCAACCGGTAGGTTAGCCTGCTGCTGGGGTCTAGCCCATCGGGACTGAGTGACATGGGCCAGACATGCCCTGGAGCCCTCCTGCGGTCCCTCCCTGCTAGCCAACCTCCCATGACCTTCCCCGGCTCTGATCCTGCACCAGTGGGGTCCCTTGGCCTGGCCTGTGCCCTCTTGCAATCCAGGACCCCCTGGGAGATGTTGGAGAGCCAGTTTTGGCTTGATCCCGGAGGCCAGGCTGAGGGACCCTGCTGGTGCACGAATTCATGCACCGAGCCTCTAGTATTATAAAAAACAAAGAACTCAGATATCTATCAAGTCTGGAAAAACTAGCTGAAGAAAAAAGTAAGTTTCTTTAAATCAGTACTTCACAGAATCTTAATATGCTTATAAACTACCAAAATACTACGTGGTATACTTGAAACTAATACAAATTAACATTGACTGTAAACTATAATTAAAAAAATAAAAAACAAGAAAAAGCTATGTCTCACTACCCAACTTTTACTGTATTGCGTGTGTGTGTGTGTGTGTGTGTGTGTGTGTGTGTGTGTGTGTCTATACCCAAAGGAATTCGGGTAAGTTAATAAATTTGCAAAATCTCTTTCTACATTCATATACAGAGACACAAAAGCATAATGCTTCCATTTCCTGAAGCACTTTCCCAGAAATTTGGAAGACAAAGAAAAATTTAATAAGATTAACCTGAATGTGTTTTATAATCATATATACTGGAATATACTGTGAAGATCAAGTCCATCTTACTAAGGCTTGCAGAGGTATTTTTTGGTTAAGGTGATAGGATTGCCCATCTAAGAGTTACAATGATTATCAACTAAAACCAGTGAATGTGAAAGTACTTCATAAGTTATACATTATTATACAGATATTATTATTTGGGACCAAAAATATAAAATATGATAGGCTCATCTATATATATAGAAGGCTAATATGCAAAGTGTCCCCTTAGGAGTTCAACTGGGAGACTATGGAGTTGACCACCTGGCTATGCACTGATCATCAGGGGGTGGCGCGGAATGAAGGGAGGCCTGGCTGGCAGATAGCAGCCAGGAAAGGGAGGCCCCAATCGGCCTTGATCGCCAGCCAGGCCTAGGGATTCTACCCGTGCATGAATATTGTGTACCAGTCCTCTACTTATTTATACCGTGTTTCCCTGAAAATAAGACAACCTCCGAAAATAAGACCTACTTACAGGTTTCCTTCTGAGTGAAATATAAGGCATCCCCCGAAAATAAGGCCCCCCTAGGCTCTGTCTCAGAATGCTATTGCTAAACATGAGAGATTTGGTCCACTGATTCTGAAAGAAATGGAGTCACAAGAAATTAACCAGGAAATTCAGGAATTGGATTGTTATGATGATGTTCCAGAAGATGACGACATGATTGTCATTGAATAAATGAGTAAATTCTTGATACTGTAGGATTCATAGTTTGTCTGGTTTGTGTTGACAACTACCATACCGTATACAGGTAATAAATTTCCTTTATTTTCATTTAACAATAAATGTGTACCGTATTCTTCTTCATGGAAAAATAAGACATCCCCTGAAAATAAGACCTAGCGCATCTTTGGGAGCAAAAATTAATATAAGATACTGTCTTATTTTCGGGGAAACGGGTAAAAGTAAACCAAGAAAATTATCATCCTCTAATGACAAGTTGAAATATACCTTGTGTGGTCGTGGATCCACTAGCATTTACTTCACAGCATTTACTTTTAACAAATCAAGAAGATAGAAAATCCAGGTAAGTATCTTTAAAACAATTATAAATATTTGAAAATTCAACTTAAAATTACAATGGTATAAGAGGGAATTCTAGGATGATCCCTCACATAAAATAAAATCCACTAAGTTAGCAAAGTCAAAACAAAAAAATTGGGTAACCTAACAGACAAGATATCCAAAGATACAAGTGAAAAGGGACAAATCACTAATAGCTGTAAGATTTATGTAGTATCAGCATCTGTGTGGAAGGAAGCAATATGAGAACCACAAAACATTCAAAGGAACTAGAAGGAAAGCAGGGCAGGCCAATATGAGAATAGGTGAAAATGGGAGAGTTCTGCTTACGTGTGGATGATTGCAAGGGGTTCACAATACGGTCTAAAAAAGCTGGTGAAATATGAACTCTCAGAAGTACCTGCTGAGGCTTCCTTCCAGGATAAAGCCCCATACTGATAACCTTCTGGGAACAGATTCCTAACTGAGCAGGAAAGGACAACAGATGCAAAGAGAATGTCCAGTCAAGAGCAGGGCAGAGGGGTAGGGGTAGGTGGATAAGGACAACAAAGCCAGCACATGAAGTATAAAGACAACATTTTTGCACACTTCCCTACAAGAGGGAATTCTGACACCATTAAGTTACAAAACATATACTGATCCACATATTGCTTCTATAAATCCAGGAAAACTAATTTCATTTAAAACTGCAAAACACAATAGAAATCAGTCAAATTCCATAGAAAGCTATTATATGAAATTAAAGATATGGATTCTTGTAGACAACAAAAGCATGCCAGAAAGAAAGCTATATCCGAATATTCCAAAGGCACATTAAAAAGAAACTATACTCAAATTCCAAAGTGCGCCATAACAACAATAAAAAAGAACGAACAGCATAATTCTAAATTAGTAAAACTGGAAACAAGATGACAAAACTCAGGAAAGTATTAAAAAGAAAGAAGACCCCAGAAAAGACTAATAAATTCAATTATATATAAGGAATGCAAGATGGTATAAAGACCAGGGATAAGCAAAACTTTCTTTACTGTTTTTTAAACCATGTTTTGAAAGGGCATAATTATATTCCTGTGAAAAATGAACTCAGAACAATTAAAATCAAGACACAGTCAAAGGAAACAGGCAGGCAGGATGGTCAGGAGGGATGAATGATCCTTCCCTTCTCCAAGGCCCATTCCCAGAAACCTGCCCTAATCTCAGTGTATGATCTAGTTTATCTTTCCTTTCCTGTAGCCTACCAAAAACAAAAGAAAAGCAAAATGAGAGCAGCTCTCTAACATTGTGTTTAAATAAACAGAATAACTAGGCTTGCTTGCTGACCTGCCTCCTTTAGACATTTGCCCTTTTCACAAATTTTGCCACCACACTAATCAGAGTTTTTGTCACATGACTGTTCTCTGTTTTCTGCTTTCTCCCTGCAGGTTTACTGGACTAAGGACAAGCATGGACTAAAGAATGGCGCATTTCAGGCTAGCCAGCAATCAATGACTGACCTGGCCTGACTTGAACATATGAGCTGAACCAATCATATTTCTCATTCAGGAAGATGCAATTAATAAACAGAGAAATACCGGTTAATTATGACCTGAATATATGAAAACCACACATAAGATGAGAGTGTTAAAAAGCCTAGGTATAAAGAGAGTAAACAAAGGAGACTCACTAGAAACAGACCATGAGTAAGAGACCATAAATCCTCTAGAGAGAGAGATGGAGAGAATAGCTGTCCCAAACCCTTGATGGTTCTGACAATGTCCCTGCATAGCCTTATCTTTTTGTTGTTATTGTTAATCCCCTCCCCATGATGTTTTTCCTTTGATTTTTAGAGAGTGGAAGGGAGAGAGAGAGAGAGAGAGAAACATCAATGTGAGAGAGACACATCCATTGGCTGCCTCCTACAAATGCCCTAACCCAGGCCAGGGATCTAGCCTGTAACCAAGGTGCGCGTCCTTAAGAGGAATTGAACTTGGGATCCTTCAGAATGAGGGCTAACACTATCCACTGAGCCAAATTGACTAAGAACCTGTATAGCCTTAAAGTAAATACCATTTTCCTTGAGATTCCTTGGGTAGATATATATTCCTTCCCATGAAAAGAGCCTAATTTATAATTTCTTTGATTAGAAAACAGCAAAATCTTATTCAGAGCCATGTTATTTTAAAATATGCCAGCTTATATACTGGCAAAAAAAAAAAAAAAAAACAGGTTTTAGAAGTTTTGTTGGGCCTTATACAATCTTGGGAACCTTTTTCAGAAAAAGAATACAAAATTAAGTACAAGACCTGGGCAGGACCTCTTGCAAATGAGGTACTCTGAAGCTTAAGCTCCAATGGCTTCATGGTAAATCCACTTTAGCTTTAAAATGACGACAGAGTTCTGAATTCAGATCGAAAGAGAATAGGACTTACAAATTGAAAAAGTGCTCCTGCAGGAAAATTACACTGGTGTTCTTCATTCAGTGTTTACTAAACTATAGTAGATAATGCGATGAATGTGGTTGGTCATGATTAGCATAAAAATTTTTAAAGGTTAAAGAAAACAGAATAGAAAATACCAATGTGAAACATACAAGAATAATTTTTGTAAATATATTATTTCAACTATATACAATATGTACATGCATAGTGAATGTAAAATTAGTGTCTTCCTTTCAAAATTATGCCTTTTTATTGCTTTTTGATCTGACATTTTTTAAGATTGAACATCATAATGGCCCATTGACTAATTTGCCAATGACTGAAACTCACAGTCTGAGCCAATGATTAGGAATCAATGCACGAAGTGGCTGAGTATTGGTAGGATAGATTTTAGCAGTGTGAGTGAGATAAGGACTCAGGTGACCTCTGCCCATCTGGGGTACAGAGACTCTTAGACATCAACAATCTGTTGTGGGGCCTCAAGAAAGGTTCTTTTCATGTGAACCAACTGCCTAAAGAAGAGTTGGGGTCAGACAAAAACAAACCAAATAGTCATTAAAAAGCAATATTTAGATTTATATTAGGTAAAGTGAAAATTAGTTAAAAATTGAGTATCAGAGGTAAAAGTGCGAGGGTCTAGCCTGAAATCAATCATTCTAAAAGTTGCAAAATGATGACTATAAATTCCTTGTACATTTATGAGTTGTTATTATATTCTAAGGAATAGTGTTTCCTTCTCCTGCAATTTTATGTATAACGATTATGAACTCATGGATTGCTTTATCCAATGAGCTGCCATTATTCATTTTGGTCGTCAAATTGTCCTGAATTTGGCCAGTGGGACCCCTTCAAGCTATCTCTTGTCTCCTTCTGACATGTCCCTATGATTCTGGGCATTTAATTACTCTCTGACTGTGAAAAAACTTTGTTACATTATAAAGCTCTCCTTATACTTCCTATGACCTAGGTATTTCTCCAAGAAGTTCTAGCCTTTTTTTAGTGGAAAAAGATTATCTAACAGAAAGATCTGGATACTAAGTATGCTCACTGCTGCTGTTGATTCATTGCTTTCAGTAGACAGAGCTAGGGGGGGAAATTAAAATTTTATTCCATCTAATACATATATAACTGAAAAATCATGAATTCACATTCATTCTCTAATTCCATATGATTTTGCTTGCCTTACTCCATTTTCACACTTCTGTCTTCTCACAGTGAGAACCTTAGATCACATTTTCATCAGTATATTTATTCATTTCTCAATCCTACATTATATCTGATTTAGTTTTAGAACTGCATATCCATAATATTACTAAAAACCAACTGTCCTAAGTAGAACTGAAGATCTGTCTGTTGAAATCCATTTGTCTTTTGAATGAAGGGTCCATTATTTTCTTCTTATACTGGTACATTATTTTCATACTTCTTACATTATTTCTGGCATGTTTCTATCACAATCACTTTGAATGCTTTCTTAAACCATTCTCATTTAGTGACATCTGTGCAAGGATAATCAATATTCTTTATTTGTGACAGTCCTCATTATTTGACAAACACACAAAAAACTATACAGCATGTAAATTAATAATTCCATGCTTTAAGTGGCAATGCATGTTTTAAATTATTTATTGACTTATTTTAGAGAGAGAGGAAAGGGAGGGACAGAGAGAAAGAAGAAGGAAGGGAAGGAGAAAAAAGGGAGGAAGAGATAGAGATAGTGAGAGAAAGAGATAGAAATATCAATTTGTTGTTCCAGTTATTTATGCATTCATTGGTTAATTCTTATATGTGCCCTGACCAGGTATAGAACCCTCAAACCCTGGCATATTAGGACAATGCCCTAACTAACTGAGGAACCCAGGCAGGGTCAGCAATGTACTATGATATGCTCGTAAATATTTATTATTTTAAAGATATGTTTTTATCCAGTTTAGAGAGTGAGGAAGGGAGAAGGAGAGAGATAGAAACATTGATGAAAGAGAAACATCAACATCCATCACCTGCCTCCTGTATGCCCCCTACTGGGGATTCAGCCTGCAATCTGGCCATGTGCTTTGATTGGGAACAAACCTGTAAGACCTCGTGGTGCGTGGATTGATGCTTAGTGAACTATACCAGTGGGCTAATTATTATTTTTTTTTAATTCTATTAACCAGGCTCTCTTACCTAGGTTTTAATGCTGAGGAGAAATCCATAGTTTAAAAAATTGTTCTTACTATAATTTCCTTAAGGGGAAAGTAATTTGATGCCTTTATTTTCACATACAGAAAATTAAAAACTACGAACACAAAAACCCAATAACCTTACTACAGAATTCTGTTAATATGACTTGAATTCCCTATTTATGACAGATCTTCCTTAGTTTGAAAATCTAACTACTGCATCCAAAATCTGATTACAGTTAAAAATACATACGTGATAATGTGAAATCAGTTGGGCTGTTAAATACAGTAAATGAAACAAAGTGGACAAAAAGCCTATGATATTTATACTTAAAAAAAGTTTTTTTTAGCCGGGACCGGTTTGGCTCAGTGGATAGAGCGTCGGCCTGAGGACTGAAAGGTCCCGGGTTCGATTCCGGTCAAGGGCATGTACCTTGGTTGCGGGCACATCCCCAGTAGGGGGTGTGCAAGAGGCAGCTGATCGATGACTCTCTCATCGATGTTTCTGACTCTCTATCTCTCTCCCTTCCTCTCTGTACAAAATCAATAAAATATATTTAAAAAAAAAATAAATAAATAAAAAACACTTTCTCCTAATGATACATTTAAAAAAAAAAAAAAGTTTTTTTAAATCCTCACCCAAGGATATCTTTGTTAATGATTTTAGAAAGAGAGGGAGGAAGAGGAAGAGAGAAACATCTATTGGTTGCCTCCCATCAGGTGACCTAACTGGAACTGAACCCACAACCCTTCAATGCTCGGGACAATGCTCTCACCAACTGAGACATACAGGGTGTTATTTATACTTTTAAGGTTGGAAAACTTTCTCCTTGGAAGCTGTATCCTCAAATAAAACTGAAAGTTAAGGTAAATCAATGGTACAGTAAGATATACTTTTCCCCCCTCAGATCCCTCTTATAAACGTCAATAAAATATTCTTGGTTTGATATAATAATGTTGATTTCAGTAATTTTAAAAGTTGGAAATTTTATTGAAATTCTTCCTCCCATAGATGAATACAAATTACATTTTTTAAAAATCCTCACCTGAGGATATGTTTATTGATTTTAGAGAGAGAAAGGAAGGAAGGGAGAAACACTGATTGGTAGCCTCCTGTATGTGCCTCACCTGGGATCAAGCCTGCAACTTTTCGGAGTATAGGATGAAGCTCCAACCAACCGAGTCACCCATTCAGGGCCCAATTACATATTATAGAATTAAGATTATGATAAGGTTTAAAAGTTAAAAATTCTGAACTTTAAAAATGTAAATCCTTTTGTTTTTAAGAAAACATGCATGTTGCCCTGGCCAGTATGGCTAAGAGGTCATTCATTTGATTCCTGGTCAGGGCTTGATTCCTAGTGGGGAGCATGCAGAAGGCAGCTGATAAGTGTTTCTCTCATTGATGTTTTTCCCCTCTCCTCTCTCTAAAAACAAAGAAAAGGGGGGGACATATCCACAAACATCGTCTTAGGAAATTACAAAATTACAGTATACATTACTCACCATTTGATGCTGATGAACCGGGGGTCAACAAACTAAGTGGGGAAAAATGTTGTCTATTAAAGTTAGCAGCTGCGGGTGCTCCTCCAAGGGGTGCCCCAGGTCCATACATCTGACCTCCTGAAAGGTTTGAGGCAAAGTTTCCCAAATGTGTAGAAGAAGGTGTTACAGAACCATATGGCGAGTCCATATTGACAATACCTATAATGCAGAAGACAATCATAGTTTATAACAGTTATCCCACCCCAGGAAAAACAATTAAAAAAAACCCTAAAATTCTAAGAACCACCCCAAAATATATATATACTTACATATATACATATATATTTGTATATATGTATATATGTGTATTTTTTATTGATTTCAGAGAAGAAGGGAAAGGGATAGAGCGATAGAAACATCAATGATGAGAATCATTGATCAGCTGTTTCTTGTACAACCCCCCCTTCCCCCGACTGGGGATGTAGCTTGCAACCCAGGCATGTGCCCCTGAGCAGTACCAAACCCGGGACCACAGACTAATGCTCTATCCACTAAGCCAAACTAGTTAGGGCTAAAAAAAAAATTGTAGATGAAAAAGTCTCTTTGCTTACTTCTTTGTCCATTGATCACCATTTCCCCCTTTATTTCATAAACATAACTACAAAAATAATTATCAAGTAAAATATAATTCTAATAGTTGATGTTTTATTATTTATTATAAAATACATGCACATTTAATATCAACACTGGAATTTAAATAAGTTAATGGCCAAGGAATTACATAAAATTTTATCTTTAAAAAACTTAGGGGGAAGCCCTGGCCGTTGTGGCTCAGTTGATTGGGCATTGTCCCATCTACTAAAAGGTTGCTGGTTCAATTTCAGGTCAGGGCACATGCCTGGATAGCAGGCTGGATGCCTGTTGGGGGGCATGCACGAGGCAGCCAATGATGTTCTCCTCTCACACTGATGTTTCTCTGTCTCCCTTGCCCTTCCTCTCTCTCTAAAAGTCATAAAAAAAATTTAAGAAAACAAAACTTAGGGGGGGGAGAGAGGAGTGAATAGGCAAAACAAAAGATTTTTAAGACATGGAGGATACTTTGTATACTATAATTGTATTCTGAACATTAAACATTTGTTCAAATCTACAGGAATTTATATCAGTCATTAACAGTGAATCCTAATGTAAGCTAAGGACTTTGATAAGGATGTGTTGATGAAGGTTCATCAATTGTAACAATGTTCCACTCTGGTGGGGAGTACTGATGGGAGAGGCTATGCCTTTGTGGAGACAGGGGTATACAAGAAAACTATAGGTGAAAAAGAAAAAGCTGTAGCTATACTTCTGCAACAGAGAAATCTGATGGTTAGCACCTTAACTAAGAGGCCATACTTTCCATAGCCAACAGTGGGACAATGCCAGAGTGTAAGGCAGTCAAAACACCATCTCTCACCCTAGCTGGTTTGGCTCAATGGATAGAGCATTGGCCTGCGGACTGAAGGGTCCCAAGTTCGATTCCGGCCAAGGGCACATGCCTGGGTTGTGGGCTCAATCCCCAGTAGGGGCATGCAGGATGCAGCCAATCAGTGATTCTCTCTCATAACTGATGTTTCTATCTCTTTCTCCCTCACCCTTCCTCTCTAAAATCAATAAAACAAATAAAAAAAAACTACCACCTCTCTGATGTTCCTGCTAGAAACGTTTGACTTTAGTCATGGATTGAAGAAACAGTGAATCTGAAATATGGGACATTTTTAGGCAACTGGGCTCTTCAAAGGATTCAACGTCAAGAAGAACAAAGGAAGGTAGTTAGATGTTTTAGACAGGGGAGAGTAAAGAGATACAGTAGGCCACAACTATGATGCTGAAATGAAAAAAGAATCAGCTGCAGTCACTGCTGTCTCAGCCCCAGGTGCCCAAGTGGGAAGAGACTGGAGACAAAGATAATGCAAATCCTGTGGAAAGGCCCTCCCCACATGGACAATGGAAAGCCTGATGACTCCAAATCTGCCCCAAACTGGAATCCACCCACATGTCCAACATTAGTAGAATGGATAAGTTATTGCATGTGCATGCAATGAATGGGATACTACACTGCAATAAAAATGAACAAACTCCTACTATAGGCAACCTGGATGAATCTCACAAACATGATGTTGAGTGAAAGGAGCAGAAACAAAAGAATGCAGATTCTTTCCAAAGAGGTCCCCCAGACAAGGGGACTGATGATTCCACCACTGCTGAGTCTCTCACCTCCTCCCAGGGACAGAGGCCTAGTTCGGGGAGGCTTAGGCCTCAGGTCTGACCCATATGGTGTGGTTGGTGGGAGGTCAATGCTGAGCACCCTTTTATTGGGCCAGACCATGGTAGTCTTTCACAAAGGACAGAGATATCCTCAAAGGCTCACAAGCTGGTCACTTGTCAAGATTATCTGGCCCCTCCCCTACTCTAAGGATGTACTCCAGGATGTGGAAGACAAATTTGATGGCCACTGTTGACATGAGAATCTCTGTGCTTTCTGCCACCCAGGCCTCAACCTATCTCCTCTGGGATACTGTGCCTTCCCACCTGAGCAGGAGGGAGCCCTATGTGACCTAGTGACCATATATTTCCCTGTGGCCCTGTGACAGCTACTATGGCAGTTACCATCCTTAGTCAGTAACACTCACCCCTGTCCATCACATCCCCATATGGGGTCCAGTGTTTCATCACATTTCTACTGACCCAGCCTCCAGGACCCCATCTTTGTTCCCTCTACTGCTTCCTGGGTCCCTTTTTCCCCTTCCCAACAGACTGCTGAGCGGGAAACTTATTTGGTGTGTTCCTTGTGCATCTATCCACCCAGATCCCAGTACTGCCCTCGATTCCTGAGCCTAACAGTTTCCTGCTATTCCCTTCTTCTGGATGCTTGTTTTAAGTCCTTTTTATGTGAAAACCCTTCTCCGAAAGTGGACAGCCGCTCTGTGAAACTCGCCAAGTTGTCTGACCTGAGATCAAGTCTGGATGACTGGGACAGAGTCACTTCCTGAAAAGCCACTGTCCCTGCTTTTGGGTTTTGTAGTTTTGCCATCAGGACCGACACTGCTGTGGCTTCCTGACACTAGAGTATTTCTGCCCAAAATGAGAGAGGCTTTTGGTGCCCTCGAGGCTCTCCCCGCCTCCCAACATAGGAGAAATGGGACACTTTCCACGGCACTTCCTCCCTGGCCTCCCCAGTCTTCTGGTGTCACTTTTTCTGGGTTTGACACAGGCCCATTAGATGTACCCTAAAGCTCCAGGGTGCCTAGCCTATTTCCTCTACAGTCCATTTTCCTTAAACTACATCATGGTGAGGACACCAGCCCTTTCATTGGAATTTTGTGGATCTCCACCTGGCCTATCTTTGGGTGGAAGTTGGACAGTCCTGACGAGCTCTCCCGACCTCTATCCCTGGGTCACTGCCACTGGCTGTTTTCTGTAAAAACGGTGTGTGTAGGCTCAGTTTTGAACTGGCCCTGAGGAAATGGGTCAGGAGTTGTGTGGGCAAGAGGGAGGGATAAGACCCACTGGAGATCTGAAAATGAATTTTCTTCTTTTTAACAATTTTTATGTTAATAATAAATGCAGTCGGGGGGAAAAAGAAAAGAAAAAAAAGATATAACAGACAAAGGCAATGTGTCAACCTTGATTTGATCTTGGGTCAAAAAGAAAGTAATGCCCCTCCCACCCCCTGAACCCCCTCACACACACACAGGCATAAAGGATATATCTGGGATGAAGGTAATGCATATTTGGTGCTATTATTAAATTAATGTTAATTTTCTTGGTTGTAATAGTGGAATACAACTATAAAGGCAAACATGCCTGTTTTAACTTGAATCTAATGAATTATCTTCTGATGGACTCTCAAGTTAAACTTCAATACTAATTTTGACTCCTCTTCACTGTACACTCCTCTAAATCTTGCCTCCCTTATAGAGCTTACTATATCTTTTCACAAAATAAAAATGTAATTCCTTTTTCTCTAAATCTTAATTTTACTCTTTCTCAACATATCACCTAGATTTTCATATTTTGAAAGGTCAAGTATTATAAATTTCAATTATTAAAAATGAAATATAAAGCATTTACAATACATTAGTATATTAAGATCTTTCCAAATCAAATTATAGATTCTATTGTTTCAGTACAAGATAAATTATTTTCGAAAGTACACATAAATATTTCAGTGAACCCCCAGCAAAGTATTTACTGATGTAAATGTCCATTACACTATAGTCACATGTTATAGAAACAGGCAAAAATAACAATCACTTCCCATTAAATTTAGAAATTTTTTGTTAGAGAGGGTCATCCTATATAATAAAAGAGTAATATGCAAATCGACCAAACGGCAGAATGACCAGTCACTATGATGTGCACTGACCACCAGGGGGCAAATGCTCAATGCAGCAGCTGCCCCCTGGTGGTCAGTGTGTTCCCACAGGGGGAAAGCCACTCAGTCAGAAGCCCTGAGCCGAGCTTATGGCTTGCAATCACAATGGCAATTCCAGGAGCCTCTCCTACCTCAGCAGCAGCACTAATGATGTCCAAATGCTGGCTTAGGCTCACTCCCCACGGAGAGCGGGCCTAAGCCGTCAGTCGGTAGTCGGTAGTGGGCCTAAGCCAGCAGTCAGACATCCCCCAAGAGCTCCTGGACTGTGAGAAGGCATAGGCTGGGCTGAGGGCCCCTCCTCACCAAATACATGAATTTCAAGCACCTGGCCTCTAGTGTCTTAATAACACAGATCAGGTTAGCAACCTTTCGGTAAAGGGCTAAATAGTAAGTATTTATAGTCTGTCATTAGAGCAGAAAAGAAGCTGTAACAATCATAATAATAAAGAGCTAAGATGCTAATGGTCGGGACGCCTTAATGAGTAACGACCAATCGCAGGAGGCTGCCTGCACGTGTATGGTGGGGCATTGCTCCGGAGATGGGGCGGAAACAGGGAAGAGGAGGGACCATCCTGTGACTTGGGGGGGGGGGGTGAGAGCCTCTAGAGCCCTCACCAGTCCTTTACCACCCACTGCTCACACTCAAGAGTGCCCTGCCATCCACCTCCCAGGAGAAGGAGCACAGTGCAGCAGGCGGGAGGGCTCCACGCTCTCCTCCAGCACCATGACAGGCGGAGCCGCTGGGTTACTCTAGAGGTGGGGCTGAAGAGGGGAGACACTCGGAGAAGGTGGAACCAGCCTGAGGTGATGCGAGGGAATGAATGTGGGGCTAGAAGGGGCCAGAGAAGGCCAGAGGAGTCAGGGGCTGGGCCAGGCACGCTAGAGCTCTGCATGGAGAGGTTCAAGTGTCAAGGCAGGGCAGTGGGTAGGTGAGCGGGGCTCTGTGATTTCACACACTGGGCTCCTAGTATTAAATATAATAAATGGTCATGGCTCATTTCAACAAAGCTCTGTGAAGACTAAAATTCGAATTTCTTATTTTTTGTGTTATTATTCTTTAAAAGTTTGTTTTTTAAAAGTTTTATGTATATATTTTTATTTTTTTTATCAGAAAAGAAGCGAGAGGGAGAGTTAATAAACATCGATGAGAGAGAAACATCCATTAGCTGCTTCCTGCATAATCCCTACTTGATTTGCCCACAACCGAGGTACTTGCCCTTAACCAGAATCGAACCTGGGACCCTTGAGTCTGCAGGCCGACACTTTATCCACTGAACCAAACCAGTTAGGGCTAAAAGTTTTTTTTTAAAGATACACTTAAAAAAATATTATACAATCTTATATATTTTACCTGTTTTTTAAAAATTACAAATGTAAATAAAACAGTTAGTGTCCTAACCAGTTTGGCTCAGTGGATAGAGCATCAGCCTGCGGAATGAAGGGTCCCAGGTTGGATTCTGGCCAAGGATGCATGCCCATGTTGTGGACTCGATCCCTAATAAGGTACATGCAAGAGGCAGCTGATCAATGATTTTCTCTCATCATTGATGTTTCTCTTTTCCTCTCCCTGCCTCTCTGAAATCAATAAAGAAAGATATATATTTTTTAAAGAATGTGATTCTTAAAAAATAAAAAACAAAAACAGGTAGCCAGCCATATTTGGCCGATGGACCATAGTTTATCTATCACTAGCATAGATCCTCTTAAATTGCTTGAAATTTTCATATTAAAACATATAGCTCTAAATGCAATTTGGTATTATGGATTAAACACTACAACAGAGAAAGGATAGCATAGGAAAAAACTGATATAATCTGAACAAAGCTTACAGTTTAATTATATATATTGCATATTATTTTCTTAGTTTTAATAAATGTACCATGATTAGTTCCATTAGGGCAAGTTGTGTAGTTCCAGAAGAACTCTTCTATAAATATAAAATTATTTCAAAGTAAATAGTCCAATGTGCTTATAAAGCATTTGAAATATGGCCAACTAATAGCCACTAGGAAAACAGTATGAAGGATCCTCAAAAAAAAAAAAAAAAAAAAACAACACCTGAAAACAGAACTACCATACAAATCCAGCAATCCCATTTCTGGGAATATATCCAAAGGAAAAGAACAAAAGACTAATTAAAAAAGATATCTACAATCCCATATTCATAGCAGCATTATTCCTAACAGCAAAGATATGGGAAAAACCGAAGTGTCAATTGGCAGATAAATGAATAAACAGGTTGTGACATAAAACTTACATAGACACTAGAGGCCCAGTGAACAGCACTTGTGCGGGGGGAGGGGGGAATGAGGAGGGCGGCGTGGAGGGAGGGACACGGGGAGAAGGAGGGGTCCCTCAGCCTGGCCTGCACCCTCTCGCAGTCTAGGACCTCTTGGGGGATGTCTGCCTGCCAGGTAGGCCTGTTCCCCACAGGCCTAACCCAGCTGGCAGAGATCCCCCCAAGAGGTCCTTAGCGCTGCCCTGGAGGAAGGAGAGGCACCCACCACCACACTGCACTTGCCAGCTGTGAGCCTGGCTTCTGGCCGAGAGGTGCTCCCCCTGAGGGAGTGCACTGACCACTAGGGGGCAGCTTCTGCATTGAGCATCTGCCCCCAGGTGGTCAGTGTGCGTCATAACGACTAGTCGTTCAGCTGTTTGGTCTATTTGCATATTAGCCTTTTATTATATAGGATACACACACACACACACACACACACACACACACACACACTTTTTTATTCAGCGATAAAAAAGAAAATCTTGCCATTTTTTACTACATGGGTGGACATTGAGAGAATTACACTAAGTGAAATAAGTCTGACAAAGACCAATACTGTGAATCCACTTATATGTGGAATTTAAAAATAAATAAACTCTAGAAAAAGAGATCAAATTTCAGAGTAGGGTAATGGAGGAAGGTGGTCAAAGGGACAAACCTTATTTATAAGATAAGTAAGTACTGGGAATGTAATGTACAGCATGATGACTACACTTAACATTGGCATATATATATGGAAGTTATTAAGAGAAAGTAAATCCTAAAAGTTCTCATCACAAAAAAACTAATTTCTTGCTTTTTCTTTTTATTATACCTAACTACACTAATAAAGGAGAAATATGCAAAAGGTCCATACCTCCACAATGCTCAACAGCCAAACAGGAGTATGTGAATTAACACAACAAAGATGGCAGGTTAATTTGCATATTCAGGCACAAAGCAAAGACTGAAGGCTCCAGTCTGAGCAAGACTGAAGACTGAAGAGGCTTGGCTTTTCTGCTGTGGCCAGAATGGAGAAGCCAAGCCTCGCTGCAGCCAGAGCAGAGAAGCCTACCCTCGAGACTTGGCTTCTCTGCTGCAGCCAGAGAGAAGGCCTGGGTCCCGGATGCCGGAGGAAAACTGGTGCTGGCAGCCACAAGAAAAAAGGCCTATTGCACAAATCTTCATGCAACAGGCCTCTAGTATGAAATGATGTATGCTAACTAACAACAGCAGTAATGAATTCACAATATATGTAAGTCAAACCATTATGCTGTACAGCTTAAACTTATACAGTAATGTATGTCAATTATACTTAAATAAAAATGGAAAAACAAATTAAAATAAAAAGAAATATGACCAGCTTGACTACCATCTTCAATTTTTAATTTTTTAAAATATATTTTATTCATTTTTTACAGAGAGGAAGGGAGAGAGATAGAGAGCCAGAAATGTCAATGAGAGAAACATCGACCAGCTGCCTCTTGCACACCCCCTACCAGGGATGTAACCGCAACCAAGGTACATGCCCTTGACCGGAATCGAACCTGGGACCTTTCAGTCCGCAGACCAACGCTCTACCGCTGAGCCAAACCGGTTTCGGCCTATCTTCAATTTTAATTAACTTTAAATAGTACATGTGGTTAGAAGCAATCCTATTAAACTATGTACCTGTATATTTTTCTCATTTTTTTTTTAAAAAAAAGACAATCAAATGAAATTAAATATTAAAATTCTTTTGTTAATTATATTTTATTTGAAATAAAATACAATTTGAAATAAAGTATAATTAACAAAACAGTATTACCTTATTAAATTAAAACATGAGACTTTTTTACATTGAGAGAAAAATATGGGAAATTCAAAATAAAATCCACTGTATTTCTAAAAAGAGTAAAACATTTGAGTTTAAAAAATACAGCAATTTCTGTCTATTTGGCCCAGTCAGAGTAAAAATATTAGAAAGTGGCTATGAGTTTTCACATCAGTTGTGTAAATGAGCAGCTGCAGAATATCAGAAAACACAAACTTACCTGAGGGACTTGGAGCAGGCCTCTGTAATGGTGGTCTGAAACCTGGAGCTTTGGAAGTATCAGACTGATGTAAAGGATCTGAATTTGGCAAATATGAGGATTTTCCTGATAGCATAGACTCTGGTGTTGACTGAGATGAAACAACAGATCCTCCCCAGAAGGCATGAGCAGAAGTAGGGCTGTTTTCAAACAATGTGCTAAAGGGCCCAAACGGTAAGGATGCACTGAAATTGGGAGCAATAGGCTTATTTGCTGGATGAACTGAATTTTGACAAGCACTTTGTGTACTTAAGGTCGAAGGTAGCTGAACAGAGGAGGGAACACTGTGAGGTCTTTTAATGTGATTGACGTTGAGGACTGCAACGGATGAATTCTGAACTGGAGCTGGGTTCTTATGAGGGGCAGTTGTGCCATGAGAGGGTGGTCTAATAGCAGGGGTTTCCAATTTAGGAGCAGGCTGGGAGCATCCCATTTGCGTCTGAGGCATAGGGTAAGTCACTGGGGCAGTAGAAGGCACTGCCACTGGAGCAGAACTTGTTGCTAAAGGAGGAACAGTCATTCTAACCTCCGGAGGAGGAACCTGAGACTGCTGAAGAGGTGGTCTTGGCTCCTGAGAAACAGATCCTGGAGGTTGTTGCTGAACAGAATGAGCTGATGAACTCCCAGAACTGCTGCTGTTTGAAGGTCTACTATTTACTGTTTCTACTACTGGAGGACTTCCTGCTTCCTGTTCAGAGGAAGATGCCCCTTTATTTGGAGATGCTGTTCCACAATCCAAAGGGCTATTTCTAGAAACCCCTCCTGGCTGAGCTGGTGGTGATGGGGAAGATGGGGATGATACTGGGTAGTGTTCTTTGGCAGTAGGCATGGGATATGTGGCATTTGTGGGTGCAGTGCTGTTGTTGCTTGCTGTGGTTGTTACTGTTGTGGTGGTGGCATTGGATGTCTTCACAACTGTGACAAAAAGCTGCCTTCTGACGGAAGGTGAACTTGGACTGCCATTTGTAGATGTACCAGGCACCGTTGAAGCTGATGAACTGGTTGTAGTTGTTGGACTTGAAGTTAAAGAACCTGCTGAATTCACCTGAGAACCACTGCTATTCTGATTGCTATGGCGAGGCACCATGTGAGGCTTAGGTGAGTTAGTAGCTCTGGCAGGGCTCAAAGGCCTGACAGGAAAAGGACCCCAAGTGGATTGAGCTGGTGGAAAAGTACCTCCAAAGTGGGTCATGGGCAATCTTGGTGGACGGATCTGCTGGAAAGTCTGAGCAGCAAGCAAAGCATGTGCAAACTGTGGAGGAGGATATGCTAATGGAAGAGAAACTGGAAAACCAGGCCTCACATTATTCACTGGATTCTTAATGGTTTTGTGAGTAGATGCAGAAGAAATTGCAGGCACAGTGAGTGCTGTGGCAGTTTGAGATGTTGATGACAGAGCTACAGTCGTCATTTTAATTCCCATTAAGGAACTGTTAGCAGCAGTGGTGGTAGGTGCTGAGGACCCTATTTTGGAATTTGCTGAGCTTTTCAAACGATTCTTTGGAATAAGTTCATCAATTTCTTTATCTGGATCCTTGATCAGAGCATTGATCAACTGTGTTGCTTGTCTTGTTGATTCAGTGCCACCCCTGTAGGTTGACAAAAAAATTAGGTCTATATTTAAATATGTAAAGCCTAATTTCATTAGCATGTGTGTATATACATATATACACAGAACAATATCCAACTCTTGAGGTATTCTGGAAATAAAGCCATATACTTTTCTGATAAGTCACTGTATTTTTCAAAAGCATAATGATTTAATTTCTAGAAATTCCATTTACTATTGTTTCCTTAGATTAAAAAATAATTTTCCTACGATAAAACACATTAGAAAAACCACTGCACTTAAATAAACATTTAACCTATAATGTTTCTGTTAGTTAAACAGTTGATCAATACTAAAAGCAAAGTAAACAAGGAAAATAATATATCTGAGCAAGGAAACAGTATTTTATTTTAAACCCTGGTATTAAGGTAACTCCATATATGACATATTTATCGATGGTCTCTCTAGTAGAACAATTATTATAATTCCTCTGGAATTGTGTCTCAAAATGAGAAGAATTCTAATAATACAAACAATAGTAACAAGGTCAAACCTTAAGAATTGGTTTTTCAGGAAAATATTTGACAGCAAAACCCCTAAAAGGGTCTAGCTGGCATGGCTCAGTGGTTGAGTGTCAACCTATGACCTAGGACCATGGTCGGCAAACTGCGGCTCACGAGCCACATGCGGCTCTTTGGACCCTTGAGTGTGGCTCTTCCACAAAATACCACGGCCTGGGCGAGTATATTTTGAAGAAGTGGCATTAGAAGAAGTTTAAGTTTAATATTATACTGCTGATATTTGGCTCTGTTGACTAATGAGTTTGCCGACCACTGAACTAGGAGATCACAGTTCATGTCCCAGACAGGGCACATGCCTGGGTTGTAGGTTCAATCCCCAGTGTGGGCCATGCAGGAGCCAGCTGCTCAATGTTCTCTCTCATCATTGATTTTTCTATCTCTTTCTCCCTCTACCTTCTTCTATGAAATAAATAAAAATATGTTAAATAAATAAAATAAAATTTAAAAAAAAAACACCTAAAGGGAAAATTGAAATTGCTTAAAAGGGTTTTTGCTTCCCTCTGCTCTAGATAAGGCAGGTTGTGACCACCGATCTATACCAGGAGAGAGAAAACAAGATAGGAGAATAAACACAAGATAAGCTATAAAACTATCAGTTCTCCTATTATTGTGAAGGGCACCAAACTTACAATTTCTTAGACTATCATCTTTGTTTTAAGGGTATTTGGGTATACACATTCAATTCAAGACATATATCTACTTCAAGTTTAAATCTATTATGAGCTCATATTCTAAGGACATACTCTGAGAATAACAAAACTCTAATGGTAATTTAAAAGAAAGATAAAAACCTACTGCTTAAAGTGTGTTAAGAATTCCTTTTTAAAAATTTCAGAATAAATTTTAAGAAAATCATATGAACAGTTTATGTAAGGAAAAAATAATCAAAACTTTTGCCACACATAAAAAATATGCCTTTAAAGCCCTTTGAAATACTTTATGTAAAAAAATTATAAAGATTATCTTCTAAAATTCCAATTTTTAAAAAGTATGCTATTAAATGCAAAATTCCACTGAAAACTCAAATACTTATATTGCATTAATCTATAGTGCAATAAAACACAAAGGAAGAAAACACAAGAGACAAAATTTTGCCTTATAGTTATTATCCGGTCTCCCGTCTTGTCTTTCTGCTTATCGATATCTATGTGTGCACCCGTGAACTCCCGAATAGCATTAATATTACAGCCTCCTCTTCCAATCACTCTGGATATCACCGTTGATGGAACAGATACTTTCTTCGACCTGTTTAAAAGTTGCAAAGATAAATTAAATCATTAGTTTCAGGTTGTCATTAAAATAAGAGAGTACTCCTAAAATTTGTATTTGAAAATACAGAATATGTTTTTGTTGAATAAGTTTCCTACCTATTTCCACTCTAAGTAATAAAAGGCAACTAGTATTATAATTACAGGTAAAGGAGGGGAAGAAAGAGGAGTGGAAGGGAAGAGGAAAGGAAGGGTGGGTAGAAAGATAAAATATGACAAAAGATTGTTTTGTTTATTTTCATCCTTCATAAATATGTGTAAAATACATACTATATAGACATGCACTGTGCTAATGCAAATAAAATAGCAAGTAAGAGAGACACGGTTTTCTGCCCATATGTATACTGACTATGTAGACACCAAGTTATAGCTATAATACCATGACATGAGTGATTTAATAAGATTTCCTAAATAAACAGTGGTTAGAGCATCTAATCCAGCCCAAGGAGTTAAGAATGGTTTCTTATGGGTACATTTGGGTGATTGGTTCACATTCTTCTTTTTATTCTCTAATATATAACTGAAAGAATGACATTAAAACTTTGTTTCCCTAACCAAAAGTTTAATTTTTTTGATGGAATTTCTAGGGAGTTCTTTAACATAGGTTATCAAAGATTTAAAATCCTTTCTGGGTGTGTACTAAAGTTTAAAACCAATATTTACTCATTCTTCAAATACTTATAAGCATGCTTTATACATTACCTGGGCTCTGAGATTACCATCTGAACCAAACACCATCTATCTATCACTTTAAAGAACTTAAATTTGTTCTCTACCAAATATCACTACCTACAAGGATTAAGCAGATAACAGTCATCTTTTTATGTAAAAGGCTCCCAATGCTTAACATACTGTTGTGTGTTTTTATCATCTAAAATATGATGTATAATAGATTGTCTGTTAGCTATATTCAGCCTTGGGCCACAAGTCTGCAACCTTTGAAATACTTGGAGGAATTTAATTGTAAGGTAACAATCCATATTTCAATTTGAAATAGAGCATATTTAAAAACTGAGAAAAACAATCAAGTAAACAATTACCTTCTTACAACTTCTTTCCATCCTTCTTCCCTCTTTTGTCCTCGCTTAGGACTTGCTACGGTTAACTTCCCATTTGGAGAAGAAAGGGGAGATGGACCCGATTTTGAGCAAGTGGACAGAGAATTACTGGTCACTTCAGGGACAGTCTCTGACAATCTTAAACAAAGAAAGGAAAATTACATTAAATACAGAGCAGATGTAGAATTTTTAAATGATAAAGGCAATCATTTACATTACTATTTTATTGTTTTATTTAAAATATATTTTTATTGATTTCAGAGTAGGAAGGAAGAGGAAAAGAGAGAAAGAAACATCAATGATGAGAGAGAATCACTGATCACTTGCCTCCTACATGCGTCCTACTGGGGATCAAGCCAACAACCCAAGCATGTACTAACCAACGGGTAATCGAACTGTGAATTCTAGGTTCATAGGTTGATGTTCAACCACTGAACCACACCCTCTGGACAATTGTTTTACTTATTTTTAGAATGAACATGGTACTCAAATAAGAAATTTACTTTTAATTTTTCAATACTTAGCATAAAATGAAAATATTTTAAAAGATAGTTTCTAGAAAATAACTATATGCCAACATATTGGACAATCTGGAAGGCATTGATAAAATTCCTAAAAATATACACTCTTCTAAAACTGGATCAGGAAGAGTCAGAGCATCTGAATAGATAGATTACAACTAATGGAATTGAAGCAGTAATTAAAATAAAATAAAAAATACCTCCCAATAAACAAAACTCCTGGACCAGATGGTTTCACAGCTGAATTTTACCAAATATTCAAAGAACTAACACCTATCCTTCTCAAACTATTAAAAAAATTCAAGAGGATGGAAGAGTCCCACACTCGTTTTATGAGGCCAGCATTATCCTAATTCCAAAACCAGATAAAGCCATTACAAAGAAAGGAAATTATAGGCCAATATCCGATGAACTTAGATGCTAAAATCCTCAATACAATATAAGCAAACGTGATCCAGCAACACATTAAAAAGACCATACATCACGACCAGGTAGGATTTGTTCTGGAAATGCAAGGTTGATAAAATATCAGTAAATCAGTAAATGGGATACACTACTTAAACAAAATGAAAGATAACCACATAAATATATCATTAGATGCAGAAAAAGTATTTGATAAAATCCAGCAACCATCCTATATAATAGTGAATATGCTAATATATCCTCACGCCATTGGAAAGATGGCAGCACCCACAGCCAATAAAGAGGGAATATGATAATTGGCTGTCACGCCCTCAAAGATGGTGGTGCCCATAGCCACAAGATGGCGACACCACGCTCCTTCAGCCCCCGAGCCACCCAGTTATTTCTAGAAAATAACTATATGCCAATATATTGGACAATCTGGAAGGAATTGGTAAAATTCCTGAAAATATACAATAGAAGGAATAATAGAAGGAATCCAAATTGGAAAGAATTAAAACTGTCATTATTTGTAGATGACAGGATTCTGTGTATATAAAACCTAAAGATCCCACCAAGTTACAAAATAAATATACAGAAATCAGTGGCATATTTATACATCAATAATGAACTATCAGAAAGAGAAACTAAGAAAACATTCCTATTCACAATTGCTTCAAAAAGACTAAAATATCTAGAAAAAAATTTAACCAAGGATAAAAGACTTGTACTCAGAAAACTATAAGACACTCAAGAAAGAAACTGAAGATACAAACAAGTAGAAGCATATATCATGTTGATGGATAAAAAGAATTAACATCACTAAAATGTCCCTACTACCCAAAGTCATCTATAAAAAAAAGGAAAAAATAGCCCTGGCCAGTGTGTTCAGAGGTTAGAGCACCAGCCTGAGCACCTAAGGGTTGTTGGTTCAATTTCCGATCAAGAGTATAAACTTCAGCCAAAACCGGTTTGGCTCAGTGGATAGAGAGCGCGTCAGTCTGCGGACTGAAAGGTCCCGGGTTCGATTCCGGTCAAGGGCATGTACCTTGGTTGCGGGCACATCCCCAGTGGGGGGTGTGCAAGAGGCAGCTGGTTGTTGTTACTCTCTCATCGACGTTTCTAGCTCTCTATTTCTCTCCCTTCCTCTCTGTAAAAAATCAATAAAATATATTAAAAAAAAAAAAAAAAGAGTATACACTTCAGTTTAGGGTTCGCCCCCTTCTCCCAGTTGGGACATGTGCATACAGGAGGTGGTTTTCTCTTTCCAGCCCCCACCTTCCACTTTCTCTAAAAATCAATGGAAAAATATCCCTTAGTGATGATTAACAACAACAGAAAAAGATGCTATGTAGAGTTAAAATTTAGCAGAGTTTAAACACAATAATAATCAGAGCACTCATAAGCAAAATTTAACAAAATGAATAAATTACATAGTAAAAATTTTATCTCTCATTAATATAAAATCTAAAAAGTAACTTATTTTTCAAATCAAATGAAATTTTGTCATCAAAACAAAGGCAAATTCTTGTTCTGCTGTTCTTTACAAGATTGATTTATAAAATAATTTAGCAACAAGCATTTCATGATACTATAAATTATAAAAATAAAAATTGAAACTAACTTTATTGAAGGCTTGCCAGAAACAGATTTTCTCTCCTCCTTTGGAAGTGTAACCAGAACTGATGGCTGTTTCTTGTTGGTCACAGTGGTAGTAACCACAGCAGGTGAATGATTGTCACTCTTTCGGCTGCTATTGCTGTTACTACTTTCATCACTGCAGCTGGAAATCCTCATGTTATCACTGTCCCCACTCTCGCTGGTACTGCTACTTTTTGACTCTCCTCCGTTCACCTTCTCTGGCTGACTGTATGAGATTGGTAGTGGATCATCAAATATAATTTGAACGTTTTCTGGAGTCATTTTATTTTTCCTGTTTTTCCTCTTTGAACTGGTTGTAGTTATGGTATTATTTCTTTTACCATGGGAACCTGCCAAAGTTGTCCAGGTTGCAGATATACCTATAGTAGTAGTGGTTGTGGCACTTGGAGGCTCTGTCAAGACTTCAGGCTCATCTACAAAAGTACCAATAATGAATTAGCAAATTCTAAAAATTCTTAGAATATATTTAGCTTTAAGAACTTCCAAGAAAAAAAAGAAAAAAAAAACAGGAGTTGTTTGCTTCTATTAGATATAAAGTCATCAGTCATTCTAGCATTCATCATAAGGAGATAAATAGAACTGATCTATGTCAGTTAAGATCTAACTAAACAATGCATAGTAGGCAAGTATAAGAATTATTTGAGGGACAATCTTATAAATGTGACTATATATTGTATATTATATTAAATGTTTTATATAATTAAATTTCTTGGATGTAATAATGTTATTGTAGTTATGTAAAATATGTCATTTTTCTGGGAAACACATAATCAAGTATTTAGGGGTGATTTCACATGATATATACATCTTACATGCAAACTGTTCAAAAAGAGAGGAAAAAAGATAAACAATGTGCCAAAATGTTATAACAATCTAGGTGACATTCAGATGTTTAACATACTAATTGTTAAACATTCCTTTGTTCAAATTTTTTTCAAAATAAAAGGCTAGAGGAGGGAGAATACACACACACACACACACACACACACACACACACACACTGCATACATAATTGGTAATTTAATAGTGATGGTTCTTCCTCAAATAATCTTTAACTAGAAGCTTGTTAAAAATAATTCCCTCAGCCGAAACCGGTTTGGCTTAGTGGTAGAGCATCAGTCTGCGGACTGAAGGGTCCCAGGTTCGATTCCGGTCAGGGGCATGTACATTGGTTGCAGGCACATCCCCAGTAGGGGGTGTGCAAGAGGCAGCTGGTCGATGTTTCTCTCTCATCGACGTTTCTAGCTCTCTATCCCTCTCTCCTCATCTCTGTAAAAAAATCAATAAAATATATATTTTTAAAAATAATAATTCCCTCATTTGAGAAAAATCTGAATTTGATCTGGATTACAGATAATAATATTACCAAATTACTGTTAATTTTTTTAGGTGCTACCATTATGTAAGCAAATGTCAGGTATATGTTGAAGTTTTACAAGTACAATATCAGAATATCTGCAATTTACTTTCAGATAGCTTAGAAAAAAATCTGTAAGCATATTATAGGAAAAGAAGTTGAAGTAAATGGGTAAATGCTTATTTTTATTAAAATCGAGGTAAAGTGTATTCAGGTATTTTGTCATTCTTTTATCTTCATAATAAAAAAGCTTGGGAGAAGTCTATAAGTAAAAATAACATAAATTCTTTAAGGGCTTTATAATTTAGAAACCTAATTTTACCTAAGTTACTGATATTTTAAAATATAATTTTCAATAGAATGTACTATATGAAACAAATTAGATGGTTTGTAGAGAAAAATACCTTCAACTTTATGCTTTTCTTTTTCTTGAGCAGCTTGGAGTTCAAAGTTCTCTTTATTTTTCGCTTCAATTTCTTCTAGTTTTCTTCTTTGTTCTTCCTTTTTCTTTCTTCTCTTCTCCTTTCGCTTTTCTCTTTTGGCAGCCAACGCCAGCCTCCGGCTTTCTTCTCTTAACTGATAAAGGATCAATGAAACAGAATAACACTGGAATTTACCATGGAAAAAAATTGTTCTATATTGTCATGTTATCATAAAACTGGGATATCATAAAATTCAAAATCATATAGCTTAACTCATTATTTGACCAAGATCATATTCTAATCACTGTAAAGAGAAAATACTTTTAAAGGATCAAGATCAAATTAATGATAAAAATCTAATTTTAAAATGAGTGCCCTGGACTGTGTTTCTCAGTAGTTAGAGCTTGCATACCAACCAATCTCTCAGGCTCAGTTCCCAGCCAAGGGCATGTACCTCAGTTACAGGCTTGCTCCCTGGCCCAGGTTAGGCACCTGGGGGAGGCAGCTGATCAATGTGTCTCTCCGATCCATGTTTCCCTCTCTCTCACTCTTCTCCTCCTTCCTCCCTTCCACATTCTCTAAAAATCAATGGAAAATATTCTCGGGTGATGATTAAAAAAAATTAATAAAAATAACAAGATACCACCTGTCATTAGTAAATTTGGCAAAAATAAAAAAAGATATTGTTACCAGGGAATTGATAAGACCTGGGTTCGTATCTTTTTGAAGGAAAAATTTAAATCACAAGACAAAGTGTGGACAAGCAAGCAAGAATTTATTGACTGCAACAAAAACACACTTAGGACAGTGCAATAAGGGCATAGAAGAAGCAACAGGAGAGGCAAGGCTGGGTCGCTCTGGCTCACAGGGAAGTCAGAGAAAGGAGAGCTTTGGAGACAAGTTCAGATTAGCCTGGGAAGTGCTGCCACTACCAATTGCTTCCCTGGTTCAAAGTCTCCTGAGGTTCCTTGGAATTTAGGAGATAGGAGCCTGTGGGGGGAAGGGAGAGAGAAGGGGATGGCATGGGCACACTCATTGGAATGAGAGCTTGTTGGGATGATCCTTTTCATGGCATTTAGGGGAGGTCTTAAAGGAAGATATTCATCAACTTAATTTCCTGTCACTGGGTGTGGTTGGCAAATGGCACTAATTTGTTTCTGTCTCCCAGAGTAAGGTGATTTAAACTATTTATCCTCTGGATGGGAAGAAGTATCCTTGGTTTAGGGAAGATAGGATTTACTAGGTGGCTGCAAACTGCCACTTAACTATCTTAGTTTCCTTATTCTGCTTGTCCTGGAATTTTCCTAGCCTCTTACTATCCTACAACATACTGTAAATAAAAAATATTTTCAAAGGATAAAGATGAAATTAATGATAAAAATTAATTCTTTGATGAAAATCTAATTTTAAAATGGGTGAATGATAAACATGTTGCTTCCTAATCACTAAACATATACCTATAGCATGTGTCATTCATTATTTTGGCAAAAATAAAAAAAATATCACATATCAGCATAAGTTTTTGGAAAATAAGTTGTTTCCTATACTGCTCTGGGTATATATATTTACATTTTTAGGAAAGGTAATTTGGAAACGTCCTATGAAAATTACAAACTGCTTATCCTAAGAATTTATTCTTCATATAATGACTATCTCTTGTGAAAAGATATAGGTTCAATAATGTCCACTATAAAATTAATTATAATGGCAGTAAAAAAAAAAAAAAAAAAAAAAAAAAAAGAAGATAAATCCATCAAATGGTGGGACAAATTAACAATATACCTTCACAGAATACTAGGTAGCCATGAAAAGTATCTAAGTATCTAAATATATACTTGAGCCGGCACTGGTTTGGCTCAATGGATAGAGCGTCGGTCTGCGGACTGAAAGGTCCCGGGTTCAATTCCGGTCAAGGGCATGTACCTTGGTTGCGGGCACATCTCCGGTAGGGGGTGTGCAAGAGGCAGCTGGTTGATGATTCTCTCTCATCGACATTTCTAGCTCTCTATCCCTCTCTCTTCCTCTCTGTGAAAAATCAATAAAAATATATTTTTTTAGAAAAAAGAAAGAAACTCCAATATTTGAAAAAAAAAATAAATAAATAAAAATAAATATATACTTGGGACAATGCTCACAATTTATATTTGTTAGGAGAGAAAAAAAGGCACAGTGCAGACAAATTCTTCCATTTATAGGGAAAGGCCACCCTCATGTGAGTCTATTTGTAGAAGCACAAAAATAAAACAAAACATAACCCACTAAGGATAAATATCAAAGGTTTACTAGTGACTATCTCTAGAGAGTGGGACTGAAGAGGGGTAGCTGAAAGATGGCGACTTTTAATTTTACTTTATATATAAACTGTACATTGTTTCTATTTGTTAAAATGAGTACATATTACTTTCATAAGTAAAAAAAGTTAAACACAAGTTTAAAAGTCCAATAATATCTCTTAAGAAGCTATTTTAACTATTACATTTTCCTCTTTGGTTCATAAAGTGGAAAAAACCTTCAAACTCCTTTTGTTTGTATATACCCTTACACATGTTTTTCAAACTAAAAAAAATGTACTCCCTGCCCATAACCATAAGCATTCAGTATATTTTATATTTTAAATATTAGATGTCAAAACAATGATACTCAGTTTATAGAAAATATCACAATGTCCTAACTAATGAAATCAGAGCTCAAAGACAAGTTCATAAGCCAAATCAACATTATTTTCCATCAGGAAATGTCTAATCTCTTGCTCAATACTCATCCAGCCTTTTTTCTTTTAATTTTTTAAAAAATTGATGAGAGAGGAAGGGAGGGGGAAAATAGAGATAGAAACATCAATAAGAGAGAACCAATGATAGGCTGCCCCCTGCCCACCTCCTACACCCAGGTATTTGCCCTTGACTAGAATTGAACCTTCAGTCCACAGGCCAACAACATTCTATGCACAGAGCCAAACCAGCTAGGGCTCACCCTTCCTTTTCAAATTATCCCTATTTGGTATCTGAAAGGTTTTGCACAGCTTTGAAGTTCTTACACCTAGGGCAAAGCAGCATAATTACATTCTCTTTGGGAGTAGAGATAAGACTTTTATTCCTGAAAAGGAAAATGGGGGGGGGGGGGGGTTCTGTAGAAAACTGAGACTCTCAGGCAGATAGACTTCAGGAAAGAATACAAATGGAAGCTAAAATTGTAGAAACTGTTAGTAGCACCCCCTAGAAAGTTTTGCTAGGCCTCTAGAAACTCTAGTCTGAAGAAGGGAAGAGGAACTTTAGACTTTTCAGGACTAAGAAGAAAACAGTATTTGTTTGGTGGCTTTCACTCCCTTGGTCACTGTCTGGGAGGAGGAGGAGTAATGTGATTGGTGGTTTTAAAAGAAGAAACTGAGCATGTGCTGACGTAGCTCATTGCTTTACTGGTTGGTTCTCAGGGAAATGCGTTCTCCACCAGAACTCCAGAGGGGGAGGCTGTGGTCCTGTTTTGCTCTGATTTTGACAGAAAGAATGGGTAAGTGCAGGGGAAGAGGAAAAGTGGGAGTGCGGGTGAAGGGTGTGTCGGAAAAATATTTTCAAAGCAACTGAGGCTGTAGATATAAAGCCTCTCCAATTCAGTTAGGAATAATACACATTTCAATCTATATTATGTCTGCATGAACAGAAAAACCTTGAGAAAGGTACAGAAAATAGCTTTTGGAGGATCAAAATAACAAGTGAAGTTCAAGACTTTTGACTAGGTCAGGATGGGTGTGATTTGGGGGGGGGGGGCTGGATTTTTAAATTTTTTTTTTTTTTTTTTTTTAAATATATTTTATTGATTTTATACAGAGAGGAAGGGAGAGAGATAGAGAGTTAGAAACATCGATGAGAGAGAGTCATCGATCAGCTGCCTCTTGCACACCCCCTACTGGGGATGTGCCCGCAACCAAGGTACATGCCCTTGACCGGAATCGAACCCGGGTCCCTTCAGTCCCCAAGCTGACGCTCTATCCATTGAGCCAAACCGGTTTCGGCTGGATTTTTAAATTTGTCCAGTGGCAGGAAATAACTGTAATTACTATTTAAGGAAAGTTTTTTGTTATTACATACATCTTCCATTTACTTTTTATTTTTTTAATTTGTCTTTATTGTTAAGTATACAGATGTCTCCTTTTACCCCCTGGACCCTCTCTCCCAGGAAGGACTTTTTAAAAAGTTTACATCAGAAAGCCAGTTTTCATCTAAGCCCAGGTGGCCGAGACGTGGGAGGGATGGGCCGGGGTAGGTCTTAGTGTTGGGGTGTGGCTGTGTTGTAGGTATGCTAATGCCTCGAGCTTTGCATAGCTCAGTGAAAGCTGGCCCTTGGGCAACAGGAAGAGCTTAGATAACAAACTTTTATAATTTAGCCTTAGGGCTAAGCCTTTCTTGTTTCTCAATTTTGAAGTTCCAAAGCTAGATCTTACTAACTTTGGAATCACTAGAAAAATGGGACACAAATTCATAGGTCCTAGTGAAACTTTTTGGGGGAAACCTGAGACTATGGCTGCAAAAGCATGGTGTTCTCTAAAACTTAATAATTAGACAAGATAGATACAGATTTAAGAGGAATAAATTTGTAGGTTGTAGTTGAATTTAATGAATTAAATGAAGTTACTAAAAGGAAGAAATTATAACTATACAAGTATATAATAATGTGTGCCTGAGGAGGAAGGGGGAGAGAATATTCAATATTTAAAAAGGAGAGTATATGAAACTATAGGAAGGCCTTAACAGGGCACAGGAAGACAATCAGAAGAAAGCAGCTTTAATGAAAAAAATTTCATGAAGGCAAACCACAAAGTATCAATAAGAACTGAAAAGAGGTAACAGGATTGGGCAGTAAAGATGGCATTGGTGATCCCTACCAGTTTATTGGAAAAGTGGGGGAGCAGCCGAAACCGGTTTGGCTCAATGGATAGAGCATCGGCCTGCAGACTGAAAGGTCCCGGGTTCGATTCCGGTCAAGGGTAGGTAACTTGGTTGCAGGCACATCCCCAGTAGGGGGTGTGCAAGAGGCAGCTGATCGATGTTTCTAACTTAACTCTCTCTTCTTCTCTGTAAAAAATCAATAAAATGTATTAAAAAAAAAAAAAAAAAGTGGGGGAGCAGGCAAAAGATCCTGGACTGAGGATTAAAAATATAG